ACTCAGTGCCCGGGACACCCTGAAATCGCCCTCCTTTCTGCCTCTGCTCATGCTCACGGCTCCCACTCGGCCCTGAGCACACGTGACCATAACTGTCTGCGTTCATTCCGTGTGTCCGGCTGGACTGTGGACTCTGGGCAGGGGAGAGGCCATGGCTGGGCAGTCTTTGCCTCTGCAGCAATGCCCTCCCCTGAAATGTGTGTTGCATGAGGACCAGAGTGAAGGCGGCCCTGACCGGTGTGGCTCAGTGGAAAGAGCATCGGCCTGCAGACTGAAGGGTCCCAGGTTCGATTCCGGTCAAGGGCGTGTACCTTGGTTGCGGGCACATCCCCAGTGGAGGGTGTGCAGGAGGCAGCTGATGGATGTTTCTCTCATCAATGTTTCTAGCCCTCTCCCCCTCTCCTTTCCTCTGTGAAAAATCAATAAAATATTTATTTTTTAAAAAAGAATGTGCGTCTATGAATCTATGCTGAGGTCAATGATGGCGATGAACAGTGAAGAGGCGAGGCCAGGACGATGCAGTGCCTCCATTCGTCACCAGGTGGCGCCCCATCACGCCAAGCAGATGCTCCCCAGAAAGGCCTGAGATGTGTTTGGGGCCAGAGGGGTTTCAAGGAAGATCACAGCCTCGGACTGAGTGTGCGATCCTCACAGAGGAGCCGGCCTGTGCGGACCAGGGTTCTCCCGGGAAACAGGGCCAACAGGACACGGGGAGAAAGAGAATTACCGCGAGAACTGGCTCTCGCATTGCGGAGGCCGGAGGCCCAGGGGCCCCGCTGGGGCAGATGGGGTCCAGCCCAGGCCGGTTCGGCCAGTGGACAGAGCGCTGGCCTGCGGCCTGAAGGGCAATGGCACATCCAGGAGGAAATCCATGCTTCCCTCTCACATCGCTACTTCTTTCCCTCTCTCCAAAAACCTACGGAGAAGTATCCTCAGGTGAGGATTTTCCTTTACAAAGTATCTAACTGGAGAGGAGGGAGTAAGTGGGAAGACTGAGCCAAACACTGAGAGTCAGAGGTAGCAGAGAGCTGGCCGTGCTTACACTCCGTGTCCAGGGCCACGCTGGCTGGTCTGGAGTTCCTGCCATGGTCCCGCCTGTTCCAGCCTCCCAGGGCGGCTCAGCGGTTCCACATCAGGAGCCACACTGGGGGTAGCTGCTAACTGGCCTTCTCTCCGGGGGAAACCTTACGTCTGTTTCTGCGTCGGCAGTTCCATAACAAAAGGACTTTGTTTAAAGCTAAATCGGCCCATTGGCTGTGGTTCCACAAAAACTCCCGGGGACAGAAGACACCCCGTCATGTAAGATGCACAGGGCTGGGGGGGGGGTGTCAAGCCCCATCTCAGCCACCGGATGAGCCCTCAGCCCCTTTTCGGTTAGTGGTGGAGGGCAGCTCCAGTTCCAGCAGGCCTTGGACAGACTTAAGGACCCCCCCCCCCATTTCAAGTTCAAAAGCAATAATTGTGGTTTTAAAAACAGGACCATGCTGGGCCTGGCCCAGCACCAGCCCTGCAGGGCCCAGCTGAGCTGGCAGAGCGCGCGGAGAGCTCCCCAGGAGCGGCTGGCAACTCAGGCCCACCCCCCGCCTCTCGGGAGCCGCCACAAAAGGTCGTGAAGGCAGCCCCGGACCTGGGTAAAGCGAGTCACCCACCGGCCTGCAGGCCCAGGCACCCGCTGGCTGAGGGATGTGAATCAACAGCAAACAAGGCCAAAAGGGAAGATGGTGATGATGCGAAGGGAACCCTCATGCACTTTTTAAAAATTGATTTCAGAGAGAGAGAGGGAGAGATCAATGAGAGACCAGCATTGATCAGCTGCCTCCTGCACGCCCCACACCGGGGACAGAGCCCACAGCCTGGGCATGCGTCCTGACAGAGACTTGAACCGTGACCTCCTGGCTCATTGGTCAATGCTTAACCACTGAGCCACACCGGCCAGACAACCCTCATGGGCTTTCAGTGGGACGTAAATCTGCCAGCCAGCCTGGAAAACAGGAGGAGGTTCCTCAAAAACAGAACGACTATGAGCACCAGCGATTCCACCCAGGATATGTCTAAAGGACAGGACGTCACCTCAGGTGTCTGCACCATTTACAGGAGCCAAGTGCCGAGGCCACCGTGCCTCTTCGTGGGCGAGTCGCACAGAACAGTGTCAGCCGGGCAGGGCTGGGTGCGTGGTGGAGGAGCAGGGGGAGGTCAGAGGGGATGCAGGTAATGGCCGCACACCTGACATGTGAGAGTAAGTCTTTATTGCCCCCACAAACACAAGGTCACGGTGAGGTGACATGTTAGACTGAAGTGGTCATCATTTCATCACGTATATGTACATCAAAGCATCACATTTACATCTTACATACATACAGGTGTTATTGGCAGATAGTACCTCCATGGAGCCGGGGTGGGTGGGCCCTGAACCTTCCCTCTGACATGCAGCACCGGGCAGGGGGTTAAACTGCAGGAGGAGCCAGTGAGTTACCCCCGGGCCGCCCGCGCCCCAGCCTCTCCTTCCCCCGTCTCTGTGCTGCTGCTGGAGGCTGCCAGGGAGTCTTCTGAAGCCACTGTGCCCCACGGGAAGCGACAGAAACTGCTGGAGCCAGGAGAGCCAGCCTCTGCGAGGACAGAGCCGCCCTCCTCCCAGGAGAACAGAGAGCAACTGCAGGTCCTGTCAGTAAAACTGAGTAACTGCACGCCACGTGGACATGCCTCCCTCCAGCCCCAAGCCCCAGCTTCTTTCCAGTATGACATCAAAACACAGGACAGCTTCTCAGAATGAGTGGAAGTCAAACAGGATTTAGTGCGCCCACAAGGCCTCCTGGGCTTTTCTAGAACACACTGCAGCCTTTAAAAGGCGGAAAACAAACAAACCCCATACAGTATCTATTATAGTGACCTAGAAAGCTAAAAAGGGGGAGAAGAGCATCTGCTTCACCCCAAAACACAAAGTGGAGTCAGGCTGGAAAACTCACAACTCCGATGCTCCGGAGCCTTTCTGCTCAGGCGGCAGCCGCCGAGATGAGTTTCTGGAGCTGACCTCGTCCCATTTAACCCCATGGTTACAGAGCTAAAGCACTCCCCTGTGACCTAATGAAGGTCCTGTCACGTGTTCCCTATCACCATGGTGCATCCATGTCATTTTGGTCACACGGCCCACACCAGCAGCACCTCCCCAGCCTGGTAGCCAGCCTCTTCCCACGCCGAGGGTGGGGAGCCATCACTGCAGACCCTCCCTGCCCAGCGGCCAGCACCCTCAGAGGCTGTAACCCAGAGACATGCAGGCACCTTGACTGTGTCACCCAATCCAGAACCCACTTCTGCAAAGAAGCACAGAGCCGTGTTCTCCGAACCCTTTAGTGGCACGTACACGGGTGAGCACAGCAACCGTCACAGAAAGAACACGTCACACGCTGTCTACAGGATACACCAGTGATCTCCATCTCTTCAGTGACATTCCATTCACACCCTCTGGTCCAGCGGCCTCCACGGGGCCAGAGCAGGCACACTACGCTGGGTCCACACAGGCTAAACGTGAACGGAGTCCTGTTATGTCACCAGCACAGCACTGCCACCCCCACCTGGCGGCCTGCTTTAAATGCGCTTTCCCTTCCAGTACAAGCAGCCCGGCTCTGCCCAGAGCACAGGCCCACGGGCACTCGCTTCCATTGCCAACGTTTCCCCAGCGCCCACATATGCACACGGACACAGAGCAGCCATCACGGTCCCAAGCCCGAGCCGAGACCCCTAGGCCAGCATCCACGTGCACGAATTCGTACACTGGGCTCAGGTGTGTATGTGTACACACACTCATTCCTTATTCCCCTCCAAGTCTAAGCTAGCCCGTGGCCCTCCAGCCAGCGTTTTCGGGGGTCCGTCTCCTGCTCTTTCCCCATCTGTGCTCCCTAACCCTAGGTGGGAGGAGGGGAGACTGTTTCCAATCACTGACAACCTCCACCCCCTGCTTTGGATCGGGTCTTATTAGTAAAACTGACTAACCAGCATGTTTGTACTGGTCACCCTCCCCCCAAAAAGCATGCTGGGTTTAAAAAAAAAAAAAAAAAAAAAGAAGAAGCAGTTTACAGGTTCAGGAGCACACACCTGGGAGTCACTGGAGGTGAGTCACCCTTATTCTCAATTCACAGATGAGAAGATGGAAGTTCAGAGAGGCAGCGTGATATGCCCAAGGCCACGTGGCTCTGGCAGAAATTAGAACCGCGTTCCAGACTCTTTTCCCCACCACAGAACTCAAGCTCAGGTCCAGAAGGTTTTAAGTAGAACAAGATAAATGGCCAGCACACACGGAAAGGTCTGGGATCTCCCCACACAGGTCCAGGCAGAATGTAGGCAGCTGCGAAGTGCGAAACACTGCTCAGCCCCGCACGCCAGACCCCGGACCTGTGGCTGCAGGCGATGTCCCGAGTTCATTACCTCCGGCCACAGGATCCACCTTATTCTCATCATCATAAGATACACGATTCAGATTAAAGCATCAAGGAGGTACATTACGATTAAAGCAAAGGAACATTTTTACAAGTATATCATCTCAGTTTCCTTAAAGGTTAAGTTTCAGATTAATTTACAAGATTGGTGACAAAAAACACATGATTTCAGTGAAAACCAACACGTTACATTTAAAAAAAAAAATCTTCAGAAATACGAAGTCAGGCAAGCATGCAAGATTCAAAGAATAAAAAGTGCAAGGCCTGGCTGCTCCCCGCGAGAAGGCTGGATTTCATGATGCTGCACACAGCGAAATGGACTGGAAGCGACAGGGACACTTCTCTGAATTGGCGGACCAGCCCCGCCCTTCGACTGGCAGGCCCAGCAGCTAGATCAGAGTGCACAGACCTAGGCCCGGTGCTTCCTGCAACCACGTGCACCTGCAGGGAAGTACCCGGGGCACATTAGCCACCGACTTCACCCACACTTCATGATGGGTACACACGGTGGGGAAGCTGTTACAGCACCGCAGCGCATCTCACGTATTTAAGAGATTAAATTCGAAGAAATCATCTCAAAGATTTTAATACCCAGCTGTGAGAGACACAATCGCATTTCCAGCCAAATGTTCTAGCTCAAAAAACATGCGTTCTTCAGCCTTCCCCTACTTTTTTTTTTTTTTTTTTTGCCTTTCAAAACTGAGCACTAGATATTTTGGGTGCACATTAATCTGATATTGTGTCCATTTTAATTACATGTTTTAGGAATACACAAAATCCATAATATTTCGGTAACTCATAGTGTATTTATAAAATGAAAAGCTCTCTATCAAAATACACTCTTCACTGGGAAAAATAAATAGGAGACAGATGGATCTGCACAAAGTGAAAATTCACTCTGGCAGCTTTCAGTGTAGGACAGTCCACAGCGAGCATATTTGCCCCTTTCCCCTCAGAGCTGTTCATCCTCCAAGTCACGACTTTAAAAATATTTTTAATGGAGATTATGTTGACATTTGTTTCTCATTCCACATCATCCTCAGCCAAGCTCTGAGCACTTACAATTCTCTGAAAAAAGAAAAACAGAATTTTAACTCTTACGAAGTATAAGCATTGAACCAGACTTCTAAGTTCAGCAAAAATGCCCTTTGAATTCAAAGAAATAAATCTGGCTAAAGTTTACCCATTCTGAGATTTACTTCAACAGTGAACGCTTTTTATCATCTAATGATGATGACAGCTGCCAGTGTCATGACAAATTTCAAGTGAATAAAGAAGGCACACCATGCTATGGCAGCCAATTACATAACTGAAACCAAAATGTATTCAGATCTCTTTTTACTCCTACATGCACTAAAAATACCCATCAGTGCTAAGAATACTGATCACCCCATGCTCCACACCTTTCCCTCTTTGGCCTGGAAATGTTCAAAATCCTTGCAGAAGAAACACAGTCCTCTCAAATTAGCATTTTGAAAGCATTTCCAGGCGACATGAGACAAATAACGGAGTAAAAAGCCCTCTTTATGGAGAGGAATTCAGGCTTCATCCTAAACTCATCCGTTCCCAAGGCATCATCCTCGGGCCAGTTTCCCCAAAGCCCTGTCCAAAGTGCCAATGACGTAAGGTAGGTTATGTGATGCAGCCTGGGGCTCACGCCGTCTGAATAAAAGGCATGAAGACCACGTCCGTGGTGTCTCACTCTCGCCCCCACCTGTGGGAACGTGTCTTTCCTTAGTCCCTTTCCAGTCTACTGGAGTCAAGATCGGTCTGAAGATTACAGTTCAAACCCAAGGCACATCTGGCAGGAGCGAGGCACGAGTGAGGCCAGAGGGCTCCGGGGTCTCCACGCCCCACTTCCAGGCTCTGCCAGCCACTGACCCGAAGGCAGGGTTTCAGAGGAGCAGGCGGAGAACTAGTTTACCGAGTGGCTGAGTGGCCTGGATTCTGGGATTTGAACACGAGGCCTGAGACTTGATCTGAGACCCACTTCCTGGCCCACATCTAGGGCACCGGCACTAGATCGCGGGCCAGCCAGGCGTCTGGATGCTGTTCCAGGAGGAAGGAGGATCTCAGGCATTACACCACTTCCCTGGACCTTTTTAAATGCTAATGTCCCTACATATTTCATTCCCAAATTCTACTTTATTTCACCCTTACCTGGCTAATGGTGGGCAGCTTAGTCAGCAGCATCTGGAACACGGGTGGCGGGAGCGTCTGCTGTAACACCTGCAGCAGCTGCTGGGGCTGGCCACACACGGCGATGGCGTTGGTCAGGTGGTCCACACCCTTCTCATATTCACCTGGAAGATTGTAACACACAACCTGAGCAGCCTCTGCCTTCACCAGGAATTCAACTCTAAAGTCCGCACTGCATCGACCACTGAGCCACACTGGCCTGGCAAAAGCAGCCTCATTCGTAAAGATTTCTTACCTTCTCTATGTCAAGTAAACTTAAAACTCACTCAGAATACCTCATGGGCCATGATAACGCACAAGAAACCTTCATTTCTGCTGCCAGTCTCCAGTAACACCATCCTCACGTTATGAAATGTCTAAAAGCTTGTTTTGAAATGTAGCCACGCCCGGCCCGGGGACGAGGACGAGTTCTGAGAAACACATCGTTACTCAAGTCCGTCTCTGCGCTTATCTCTGTGCGAACACGGGAATGCACTCACACCCCCAATGGGACCGCCTCTACAGCGCCTCCTGTCGGACGGCTGCAGGAGGCTCCTGTGCTGACACCCATCCTGTAGGCAACAGTGGTCTTCGTGTCTCTAAACACAGAGGCGCTGTAATCTCACACAGCGGGCAGCACAGGAGGGTTTGCAGGGGAGGAAAACCAACAAGCTTAACGACATGCACACCTCCCGTCCACCTGACACCCTGGAAACGGAGAACCTCGGCAACGGGGCCAAGCCGCCGCCGTAAACAAACATTACACAGCCTCTGCAGCACGAGACCGAGACCACGGCGATGGGGGAGCCAGGCGAGGGAGGCCACCAGGAAAAGCAGCGACCCAGACGGAAACCGCCGTCTTCTGCCCTGAGAAGTTTCTAGAGATAAGGTCACCCCTTTCCCAGCACCGGGAGCGACACCCTAACAAACACTTCCTACAAAGGGCAACTTCTCCTCAGTTTTCTAGTCTTTTAAAGAAGAACAGACATCGCCCCCCCCCCCCCCCCCCCCCCCCCCCCCCCCCCCCAAAGGTGCCACTTGTGCTAAAAGCCAGACGGAATTTTCGGGCTAAGAACCAGTAAGGTAATCTGTCACAGGCCCTTCTCCATCCCTCACAGGAAGAAAAGCCAATCTACCTAACACCCCTCTCCCCCAAAAGAAAATCTGTCCCCAATGTAATCCCTTCTTTTCTTTTCTCAACAGCTCCCTGCTTTCCATCAAAATCTTCCAATTTGATCAGCCCCGTGGAGGGAGTGCCCTCCTTGGAGCTGCTCAATGGGCGGCTGCCCATTCACAAATCGCTCACTAGAGCCACTAATGGTCAGGTTCCCCCGGTGGAATGCCTTACAGGATCTTACCTTGAGCTAGTAACTCTTCCCCCAGCTGTATTTCTTCAAGGAAGAATTTCTGAACAGCCTCAGCATCTTTAAGGTCAGGCAACTGTTTGGAAGGAGAATATTTAATAACACAACAAAATTATGCCCCAAAAAATTATACACAGAAAATCATACCACCGAAAAGTGAATTTACTCAACAGCACTCGCAAAGATTAGTATCTACATGGACAGGAATGTAAAAAAACAAAAAAACAAAACAGCTTATTGATCAAATTGGTTTTTGAGTTTGAGTCAAACCTGAAGTAAAAAAGGAACCCAAATATCACTACTGTGAAATATGCATATTATAATTTTTTTATTGCCATTATAGACTTATGTAATTGTAATCAATATATCTGAAATAGAGTTTTAAGTAATTATTTCTATAAAGTATATAATATAGGGGCGGGCAATTCACAGCTGTTCAAATGGAAAATACAATAATTAATTACTCAATGATGAGAATGAAATGTGTTTTGTGAGCCCACCCCCGTGTCATCTAAGCAAGAGCCCGGCGGTCTTACCTTGGAGAGTCCAGCCCTCTCCTTGGCCAGCTTCTGTTTCTTCCTTCCTGCAAGAGGAGACATTCTCGTTATTGAGATGAGAACTAAAGAAGTCTAAATGCGCAAGGGTCACTCATCACGTTTCCAAAACATCTCAGCTCCGGGCTCTGCCTCCGGGGCTCCTGTGACTGTCAGGGTCATGGGGACCGTCTGCCCCGGCACCAGGAAGGGGAGACAGGCCATCAGTGGTCTCCCTGGTGACTACCAGCAGAGCAAGCCCGCCCTCCCGCCCACAGAGGACAGAACAGGAGCAGGAGGGAAGCCACTCCCGTGAGGGGCTTTCGTTACTAAACAACCCCAGATCCTATGTCCTAATGTTAAACACTGGCCGGCAGTCTTAAGTGGGGAGGGGGAAGAGAACCAGCATCTGAGTTTAAAATTGCCAATTAGCGATTCACCCACGTGACTGTGACGGCGCGGGTGCAGAGGGAGCACAGAGCAGGCGGCAGTCCCCTGGCCGCCCTCGCTTCCAGGTAAAACTGGCTGAGCACAGCACTTGGGTAGAGCTGAGATGACGTGAGCATGTGTTAACGGTGCCGCATGTAGAACATGCCACAAAGCATTTGTCACTGACAGTCCAATACCACCCCGCAGCTAAGGAGCTTGCTCACTGAAACACCTCCCAGGGCCACGGGAGTGACCACGAGCCAGAGCTAAGAAAGCTAAGGCTCCAGCACTCACTCCTGGGTGACCTCGGCGAGCGAGGGAGCCTCTGATTCTCCAGACAAGGCCCACCTCGTGTGGCCAGAGCCACAGCCGCGGTTAACCAGGTTAACCAGGTTACCAGAGCCTTCTTTCCTCTAACCTCACCAACTGGCTTATCCACACCGGCATCTCTTGCCAACCCTACAAAACAATCCTGGCGGTTTCATAGAAAAATCACCGTATTTTTCGGACCATAAGACGCACCAGTTTTTAGAGAAGGGAAATGAAGAAAAAAAGATTCTGAAACAAATAGTGTCCTAAAATATTTTATGTGCATTAAAACCCAACATCACAGTCATAAACACATGTAATCAACCCTGTAAGTAAACAGCAGCATTTAGAACCATTTTAGAGCTGGGCAAGCACACAGAGACCACACAGAGCAGGGCAAGTAAAAAAACTTTTTTTTAAAGTATATGTGCAGGCTATATTTGGACCATAAGACGCAGGGACTTTTCCCCCCACTTCTGGGGGGAAAAAAGTGCGTCTTATGGTCCGAAAAATACGGTAGGTTAAAGTTGATCTCGCACATTAACTTGAAGAATGCCCTATTTTTTTCTGACAAACTACTTCTCCTAGGGATTCCCCACTGGGCAGGTGAGTGTGGGGAAAAGAACACACAATGTATTCTACCCTCACTTTGCTGAAGGGTCTTATTTGGCCCTCCTTAGGCAGGAAATAAGAATGCATTCTCTACAGACTATAGTAAGGAGTTCCTAAATCTGACGGCACAGCCTAGGGCTGCAAGCAGAGGACTAAGACCAGAGGAGACTGGGGGATTTTAAGATAAAGCTCATATGAAGACAAGGAATGCCTGGGTGCTAAGGCGAGCCCTTTGCAGGTTTTCGATGCTCCGTGCCATGACACCACCTAAACAACATCACTTAGCTCATGCTTAACCCTCACAGTAACCCCATTTGACAGAGAAAACTGACCTAGGTCACAGCCAGGAAGAGGTGGAGGGGCTCACAGAAGGCAGCAGGAGACTTAGGCCCACCACCCTCCCATTTTAGAGCCGCTCTCTTATGGGGCAGAGAGTGTATGGTTGTTGCTGAACGTTGAATACAGTTAGCAACTTTAAAGGCTGCTTGGTTACTTTGAATTTTAGCACGAAGATTAAATTCTGGCCCAGCTGGTCAGGACGCCATCCCAATAGCCAAGGTTGGGAGTTCAATACCCAGTCAGGGCACATAAAGAATCAGCCAGTGAGTGCATGCACCGGTGGAACAACAAATCCATGTTTCTCTAACACCAACTTCTTAAAAAAGGATTAAACTTCTGGATTTAGTTTCATAACACGATTTGTTACATTAACTTATTTCCAGATAGAGTACCAGACAGTATCTATGATGAAGGGACGTGACACATGGTAACAGACCGGCAAACCAGTCAGCAGTCAGACTGGGCCTCAGTATTTGCTGGAAGTCAGTCCCACGGGCTGCCGTGCGACCCTAACAAGTACAACAAACTCCAACCGAGCCACCTGGCCAGGACACAATTAAGTACTTTTAATCAGAATGCAAAACTACCGGTAATTAAAGCCTAAAAAATTCCTTTCTTAATGTTTTTACTGATTTCAGACAGAGAGGCAGGGAAAGGGAGAGACACTGGTGAGAGAAGCGTCCACGGCTGCCTCCTGCACGCCGCCCACTGGAGATCCATGGCAAGCCTGCAACGCTGGACGCTCAACCAACTGAGCCCAACAGCTCAGGGCGTGAATTCAAGTCTTAATTGCTAAAGAAAACATAAAGTCAATTACTGTATATTCATAAACGATCTTCAGCATTCACCAGTCACTACGTGCCAGAGACCGCCCTAAACTCTACCGTCATTGTATCATTTTACAAAAGTGGAACTAAAACCTTAAGTTGGTTGCCCAAACTAATAATCCAAGCCTGGCCACTTACATGGAAATGGGATTTTGAAAAACAAAAAACAAACAAAAGATTTCTCAGTCTGTCTAAAATGGTGGAGAGGGCAGTGCATATGGAATACTTTCAGCAAGAAAGATGCGGCACTAATGCAGCTTCCCTGGGCCAGGAATGGTGGGACACTGTCAAATCCAAAATAACCTTCTGTCAATGTAAGAAACAGCCAAGCAGCGTAGAGGACTTTTGTGGGTTTCCTTGAGTCTGACAACTGCCAGGGAGCAAAAGCTCAAGGGATGGAGACAATGCTCCAAAATGGCAGCTTTGTGACTCATTTTCTACATTTCAATCAAAAGCCGTAAGTGGGTTACATGAAACCCACTGGTGATAGGGTAGGGAGGTGGGAGAAAGCAAAGAGGGAAACCTGTGGGATTGGATAAAAAAATGATCGACACCGGTACTTGTTTAATTCAGGTGAATACGGGTGGGTTGGTTATAACAGTTAACAATTAAAGAAATAAACAAGGGGCCAGATAATGGGGAGATAACTTTGTTTTTGCGAAGGCCTGTTTATCAGGCTGTTATCCTGGATACAAAATGATGACAGGTTCAGCTAAGGTGGAGATTGACCTTTGTCAGGGAAAAATATTGCCATGAATGGCTTTTTAAAAATACATATTTTTATTGATTTCAGAGAGGAAGGAAGAGGGATAGAAACATCAGTGATGAGAGAGAATCACTGATTGGCTGCCTCCTGCAGGCCCCCTCCTGGGGCCTGTGCCCTTGAAAGGAATCCAACCCGGGACCCTGCATCTATCCACTGGGCCAAGCCGGCTGGAGCCACGGAACGGCTTTTGGCTAAAAAGTTTTCGTTTCAGACCACCCTTTGCGGCTAGTTCAGGCCTGAGTCTGTAAGGCCACCATGCAGGCCTCCCTAAACCGGTCAGGTTTAGCACGTGGCCCCGTTCCCTCCACCCTTCCTCCCATTCAACTCCGTAACCTTAAATGACATCAATAACCTCTGTAATCCCTGCCCCCTGACATGCAGGCGTGGGAACCCCGGGTCCTGGTTTATGGGGTGACATCAGCGCGGCTCCCCCTCTCCTCCTCCCTCCCCCGCGGGCACCGCCCCACGTGGCCCCTGAGCACGTGAGACGCCGAAAGGAACTGTCCGAGGCGGGACAATCGCCGATTTGTACTTTCTGGGCGGCCATCGCTTAAACATCATTTTAGCTTCGGCACAACGGCCTGGGCAACCTAGATAATAGTTTCAAAAAATATTCCTTATTCCAACAAACGTGCTCGCCTCCGAGATGAAAAGGCCGCAGCGGCTGGGGCGGCACCATTTGCCTCTCCCCCTCCTCCCCTCCTCCAAGATGTCGCAGGTCTGAAATAGGGCCGAGCCACGGGGAGGCGCAGCCCTTTGGACTCCCCTGCGGTTCCTGTCGCATTCACTCATATCCTGGCGGCACCGAGAGCGCAGCCGCCAAGAGGGTTTAAGAATGCAACGGGCCGAAGCCGGTGCGGCTCAGTGGATAGAGCGCCGGCCTGCGGACTGAAGGGTCCCGGGTTCGATTCCGGCCAAGGGCATGTGCCTTGGTGGCGGGCACATCCCCAGAAGGAGAGGCGTGCAGGAGGGAGCTGATGGATGTCTCTAACTTTCTATCCCTTCTCCCTTCCTCTCTGTGAAAAACCAATAAAAACATATTTATATAAAAAAATGAATAAAGAAAGAATGCAATAGCCCTTACCGCGTTGGGTTTGCAGAAATTCGTAAAATAGGGCGTTGGGGGGCGGGGGGGTGGGAATGCGGTAACCCGATCGGGGGGATGAGCATCGGCCCAGGAGCCAGGAGGCCTCGGTCGGGGTCCGCAGGGCACAGGCCCGGGGTGCGGACTCGGTCCCCTGGGTGGGGGCGTGCAGGAGGCAGCCGACCGATGCATGCTTCTCCCTCATTGATGTTTTTCTCTCTCCCCCTCTCTGAAGTCCATACAAGCACTTTTTTTATTTTTTAAAAAGAGAGAAACCCAAGCACCATCCCAACACGCGCCGCCTAAATTACAATACAAACGAGAGGGTATGCATACAAAAGGATGGGGGGAGACAAAAAAGGAAAATCCAACATGGAGGGGCCAGGCCGGGCGCAGGGCCCGGAGCAGCCTGGGGGCGCGCGGCCCCCCCCTCCCCGGCGGCGGTTCGGGTCCCGGCGCCCCCACCGCGCGGCGGCCCGCGGGCCGGGAAGGTCCCGGGAGGGTGGGAGGCGGGGGGAGCAGAGGCGGGGGATGGGGGACGGGGGAGGAGGTGGGGGGCTGGCGGGGGGCCCACTCACGTTCTCGCAGCCGGTTCTTGAAGTTGGGGTCACTCCGTCTCTTGCGGTCAAAGTAAATGCAGTAGCCGATGAAGAGGGCCCCGCACACGCCGGCGGCGATGGCGCTGTTCCGGCCCACCATCTTTCCTCGACCGCAGAGAGGCGTCGGCGGCCGAGGGGGCCCCGGGAGGAGGAGGAAGCCGTTTGTCGCGAACTCCCTCCGAGCGGACGGCGCCGCTCAAACTGACGCCGGCCGCGAGGGGACGGGAAAGGCCTAGCGCGCCATTTCCGGCGCCCTCGCAAGAGGCCCTCGGGCTGCCCGCGGCGGCGCCTGAGAGGAAACCCCGAGGCTGCCCGCGGCGGTGCCTGAGCAGAGGCGACCCCCCCCCCCCCACACGCCCCGTGCCGCTTCTGCGCCGGCGCAGAAGGCTTAGGAAGTGACGTATGCGTGTGCGGTGAGGGACCGCGCACTTCCGGGGAAGCGCGCGGAGCCTGACGCCCTTGGGCGCGCGTGGCCGCCGCAGATTGCTGCCGGCAATGGCTTGCCTTTATTCTGGTTTGATGCAGGCGGCCTGTGACTCGTTTCAAGTTCAGCCACAAGCTGTTGTGCAACCAGCAACACAATCTCATGTCAGAGCAATGTTGCAATATGGTATCATGCATGGAAGAAAATCAAATGGAGCCGGTTTGGCTCCGTGGATAGAGCTCAGGCCTGCAGACTGAGGGGTCCCAGGTTCGATTCAGGCGAGGGGCACAAGCCAGGGTTGTGGGCTCGATCCCCAGTAGGGGCGTGCAAGAGGCAGCCAATCAATGATTCTCTCTCATCATTGATGTTTCTATCCCTCTCCCTTCCTGTCTTAAATCAATAAAGACATATAAAAAAGAAAATCAAATGGAGCAATGGCTGGAACTGGTAAAAGATACTGAAGGAAAAAGATATGGGAAACATTCTGTATGTGGGTTAAAATTTAAGACAAAACTTTGGACAGAAAGGCAGAAAACAACTGCCTTATTTTCTTCCTTTATTTCAACTTTTTTCTCCTTTGGCTCAAACTGGCCTCACCCAGTGCCCTGCCTCTACCCCTTCCAACTCCTTTGCTTAATCATTGAGCCCTCAGGACAGTGAGGTGTGGTCAGCATCTTAGGAACAAGGTCCTGGGTCTATTGAGTATTGAGACAAATTTCTCTTTTATTTTTTTAAATTTATTTAAAGAGAGAGGAAACTGATTTGTGTCCCACTGATTTTTGCATTCGTTGGCTGACTCTTGTATGTGCCCTGACGGGATGGAACCCAAACCAACATTGGAAGAGGATGCTTAGAGGTCAGCAAACAGGCTCTCGAGTCAGGTGCCCTAAAACACTCATGGTAACTAACCTGCCTACAACTTATAAGAAATGCTTCACAGGTACTATTACAATGCAAATAAACTGAAAACATTTCCATGTTCACAGTCACCGCCCCAAAAATTCTGAAACTCAATACATGGTTTCACCACGTTTTATTACCAGACTCAGTGGAAAAAGTAAAGCTTCAAGTTGCTATTTCTGTTTTTTCTGCTTCTTCGTTTGTCCACTTTTCTTCTGTCCTTTCTTTTTCCTCTTGGTGAGAACAGCTTTTTCTCCGATAAATAAACTTTTAGAATGTCCTCCATTTTTGGAAGCAAAATTAAGTCCCTTCTTAGGTTTGCTGACATTCTTCAAACTGGGATTTGAGCTTTGTTTTAATTTGTCCTTATTAACAGAACGCATGACTCGGAGTTTTCTCCCCATCAGTTCGGAATTATTTAGTTTCAGAGCAAGGTGAACAGCATCTTTATTCTGCAATACAAATCAATGTATTAATTTCAACCAGAAACTCATCTGCAAAGAAACTAGTCAAATCACAACTTGAACAGATTAGAGCAGCTTGCACACGGAAAACCACTTCCATAGCCAGGGGTCCAGGCCCAGTGTCACCTTTTTTTTTTATTTAATATATTTTTGATTTTTTACAGAGAGCAAGAGAGAGGAACAGAGAGTCAGAAACATCGATGAGGGAGAAACATCGATGCCTCCTTCATACTCCCCGCTGGGGATGCACCTGCAACCAAGGTACATGCCCCTGACCGAATCAAACCTGGGACCCTCGAATCCCCAGGCTGACGCTCCAGCCACTGAGCCACACCGGTTTTGGCTGTGGTCTCCTTTTAATCTGCTCCTCACACGTTTCCACAGGAAGCAGTTTAGCTGCCTTTCAGGTTATCAGATAAGTCACAGCCCAACAGGTTGCCCTGTTCTCACTGCCACCTTTTGACGTGGCAGCAGGGTAGGCAGTCACAGGCCATCTTTACCACCCAAGGAACCTCCTTTGCACAAGGCTCTTCCTGCAAAAGCCTGACTCTACTATGGTGCCTGAGCTGCTGGACAAGATGCCTCAGACGGTTCCGTTTAGATCCCAAATCCTACTGATCTTTTATTCTAATACTAAATGCTAACAACCCTGAGTATACGCGAGATGTGTCTTAAAGAACCTGAGGAATTTATCAAGACACAGAAGAAAGGCTGAAACCGGTTTGGCTCAGTGGATAGAGTGTCGGCCTACAGACTGAAAGGTCCCAGGTTCGATTCTGGTCAAGGGCGTGTACATTGGTTGCAGGCATATCCCCAGTAATAGGTGTGCAGGAGGCAGCTGATGGATGTTTCTCTCTCATCGATGTTTCTAACTCTCTATCCCTCTCTCTTCCTCTCTGTAAAAAAATCAATAAAATATATTTAAAAAAAAAATTGGCCACATAACTTGACCTCATTAGTAATAGGCCACTGGAATCTGTGTTTACTTTATTTAATTTTTCAATCCAGGAGTTGGAGGGTGACGGTGACAGTGTGTGAACGATGACAGGCAGCCACGCCCTCCCAGTGTGTTCCCAGGGCATGGGACAGGGCAGCGGCCTCGGTACCTCAAAGAGCACGTAGCCGAACCCGCGGCCGACGCCGGTGAGCGGGTCTCTCACGATCCTCACGGCCACGATGTCCCCGCAGTCCGCGAAGTGCTCCTCCACCGCGGAGTCTTCGATTTCTGAAAACAAATTCGCCGGCGCGGAGGCGCGGCCACTGGTGAGGTGACAGTCCTGCTTTTAAAGTTCCTCTTAAGGCACAGACAGGCACTGCTCAGTGGCTGTTTCCGGTACTTGGACAACAAACAGGTACTTTGCTTATACACACTTACTGTACGGGAGATTGCCCACAAACACCGAGCGCTTGTCTCTCTGAAACACAAAGACACACGGTCACTCATGGAACAGAATGTGGGTCACCTGAGAGCCCAAACTTCCCTCCTCTCCCCCCCCTACACACCACAGGATCTCTCTGTTGTAACTACTCCCTTCTGCCAATCGCGCAGTACTACCAGCCCAATGGGGTGTTTGTATACTAATAAGACTTTCCTGAAAAGAGCAGCCAGCCAGTGGATCAGGGATGTCAGCCAGGCCTCTGTCACTTCCTAACTAGGTCACTCTGACACCACCAGCCATTAACCTATGCTTCTATGGAGAGCTCTTACTCATTTGTTTCAAGACATTTTAAAAAAATATATGTATTGCCCCAGCCAGTTTGGCTTACTGAACCTGGAGACTGAAGGGTCCCAGGTTCGATTCCGGTCAAGAGCAGGTACCTTGGTTGCAGGTACATCCCAAGCAAGGGGTGTGCAGGAGGCAGCTGATGGATGGTTCCCTCTCATCGATGTTTCTAACTCTCTATCCCTCTCTCCCCCTCTCTGTAAAAAGTCATTAAAATGTATTTTTTTTAATGTATTTTTTAAAAAAGAACTCGCAGATACTCACAGACGAGGTCTCCGATGCTAGGTCAACTCTAATTCGGAATCCATCGGCGATTTGGGCCCCATTTCTGCATCAGACATACGAAGAGGAAATGGCTCTTAAAAAGCAGCACTGAGTTCCTGTACCATTGGCTTTAAAGTGAAAGCAAAGAATTAAAAATACTCAGAGCTGCCGGAGTGATTCTGTCAGACCACAGAGAGAGAACGTTACCTGTTCAGTGCTTTAGCAGCAGCGCTCTCGTCCTTAAATACTACGTACGCGTTAATATTTTTCTGATCAGGATGAATTTTACGCCTACACAAATAAAAAATAAAAATAAGGACCATGTAAAATGGTTAAATCTCCAAGTCACCAAAGTAAATACCTTGTTTTCTATTCTCAGTCTACACATAGGACAAGAATTCCCGGAGGAAGTTTTTCATCTCTTTCAATAAATATTTAACAACAACAAAAATAACACACCACCTACACAGACACTGGCTGAAACTTGTAACTCACGCCTTCCTCTTAGGTTATTTCACAATACTTTCCGTGACTTTATAATTTATGTGGAGACTTAAAGACAAACATCTGACAGATGTATTGGATATATGCTATTTCCAGGCAAAAGGGACCAGTAGAGCATGGTGTTTTCTCCAAGTATAAAAAAACTGATGAAGCTAAGAAAGAGATGGTCTCAATGTTAACCAAAACGGAAACGAATACAAGACTACTCGGTTTCATTGTAGACTTACTTTATGGCAGCCAACTTTCTGGACATCGTTTCTTCTGCTGGAATCTTTTAAAAAGAAGAAGAAGAAAAAAAGAAAAAAGTAAAGAAAATTCATTATTTGAAATATTACCTTAGTTATAATTAACACGCTCTAAATATCTGATTGAAAACATTCTGGGGCGCCCTGGCCAGCAGAGTTCAGTGGTTGGAGCGCTGGCCCAGGAACCAAGGGGTGGCAGCTCGATTCAGGTCATACGTGGGTTGCAGAAACATTTATTTTCCTGTGTCCTAACACACATTGATTACATTCCAAAGGTATGGATACTGCTCATTTCCTGCCGGTCTACAGAGTGAAGTGAGATGCCATGTACTCGTAGAGTTTTGCAGGAAACTGACTTTAAAAAAATATTTCATCTTTCTATGTTCAGAACATACATGCTGTATGAAGCGGCCACACAAACCTCCCAGATGGGAAGCCTACAACCCCGGAAATGCTGTTCAGTAAGTATTAACATTTCCGCTTACTCAACGGACACAGCAGACACAAGTCACCATCTACCTCCGAGATGCAGTGCTGGTCTGAGGAACAAGGACATCATTTCACTCCGCGACTCGCTAAATTATTTAACAAGGACAAGAGTCAGCAACAGGCACTAAAAACGACTTTTCTCTAGGGCTACACTCAAACTCTTGACTCAGCTATTGGGTTTGAAGTCAATGCTCATCCACCTCACGAATGCCACCAGGGTAACAGGTCTGATTTCAGCGCGATGTCTCACGCTTCTGCAGTTCTAAGGGGGAAGGAAACATACCACAGAACGAAATCGCACGGATTCTATCGGCCCGTACTCCTTAAAGAACGACTTCAGCTTCTGAAATAAAAAAGCACAGGCTTTAGTTCACTTCCGAAGCATCAAGTAAGTGGCTACAAAAAGGCAGAAAGTAAACCGGCCTGATGATCATTTACTGCCAGGTTTTATTTTAAGAGCATTTCAGAAGAAGCAGGTGACTATTCAGGTTGAAAGACAAACACATTTTAATGAGATATGGGGAAAAAAGAAAATACAACGTAAGTTCATGTTAGAAGGTATGGAACACTTTTGTCTTTCAATCTTTGATAACCTTTACCACGTGTAAAGGTAAGGCTGGGTCACAGCCATTGTTCAGATAAGATGTACAAAAGCCAGTGACTCTGAGAGCAGAGAGGGGTGAATCCTGGCATCAATCTACAGAATGATGTGTCATGTATAATGAAGTTAGCAACCAATTACATGGTTGTGTGCTTCCTCCACAGAGAAACATTAAACAAAGTTATGAATGACTCCCTTCTCTGAACCCGCACCACCTACATATGGCACATTCACCTTCTTATTGCACGTGACAGGCAAATTGCCCACAAACACGGTTCTCTCATTCTTTCGCCTCTCTTCTTCCGGGTTGATTTGAATTTTCTTCCTCTGACTGACAGCTGTGTGATCCTCATCAGCAAGGACTTGTTTATCTGCCACCTGACCACCAGATTGAGAAGCTTTCCTTTTCTGCCCTGGTTTCTGGCGAGTTTCTTCTTCTAAGTCAGCCCTTGTTAGAGCATTTTCTCTTTTTAAGGCGGAAAAAAAAAAAAAGGAAGAAGAAATAATAGTCATGAGTCAGGTCTACTATTTGACAAAGCACAGTGATTAAAAATATTCCCCACCTACTCTGACTTTCCTAAATATAAACACACCATTCACAAACATATCTACATTTATTTATTTAGTTAGCTATTTTAAAATATATTTTATTGATATTTTACAGATAGGAAGGGAGAGAGATAGAGAGCTAGAAACGTCGATGAGAAACATCGACCAGCTGGCTCTTGCACACCCCCCACTGGGGATGTGCCCACAACCAAGGTATATGCCCTTGACCGGAATCGAACCTGGGACCCTTCAGTACGAAGACCGCCGCTCTACCACTGAGCCAAACGGGTTTCGGCCACATCTACATTTTTTAAATAATATATTTTATTGTTTTTTTACAGAGAGGAAGGGAGAGGGAGAGAGAGTTAGAAACATCTATCAGCTGCCTCCTGCACACCCCCTACTGGGGATGTGCCTGCAACCAAGGTGCATGCCCTTGACCGGAATCAAACCTGGGACCCATCAGTCCGCAGGCCGACGCTCCATCCACTGAGCCAAACCAGTTAGGGCCACGTCTACATTTTAAAAGTAGCATTATCAAAAAGTGACCGGCATCTTTAGAAAATTCAAGTCAGAAAAAACTCCATTTCTGAAGATATGTTAGGACTGCCAGGTAACAGCAGGAACAGAAGTTCATTTAAACAAGAATGCTTTTGTTTAAAGCTCTTGGAGATTTAGCCTACACTCTCCCAATGCCATTAACTGCCCTGGCACTCTAGGGGTACTGCAGCACCCTCTGGGGGTCTAGACAGGTCAGTGCACCTGCAAAGTAATGCTGTGAAATCAATCTGGCCAATAGGAAAAATCCAGATTTCCTACTTTTATGAGTTCTGGATATCTCAAGGACTGCTTGTGGAATGTCAATTCTGAGACAGCAAATAAATGAATTTTACCAACCTGTCTGCCAATCTCTTCTGGGCACCAGAAAGTTTCTTCACTTTCACTTTTTTGGCAGGTTCTTGCACACGGGGGCTTCCAGTGAGGGCCGGACTTTCTTCCTCCTCCTCCTCCTCCCGTTGCCTTTTCTTGGTGGTTTCCTTTGAAAAGTTTGAAGCCAAGTGAGAGACCTCATCCTTCACAATTCAGTGGGCCTGCCCCGCAGGCCGGTGTGGCTCGGCGGTTGAGCTTTGCCCGGGGACCAGGGGGTCAGGGTTCGATTCCCGGGTTGCAGGCTCCATCCCAGGGTGGGTGTGCAGGAGGCAGCCGATCCATGATGTTTCTCTCTCATTGATGTTTCTCTCTCTCCAATTAAAAAAAAGCACAATAACTCAACTGGTCTTGATAAGTTAGCATCTCTATTGCCGAAACCCGTGTGGTTCCGTGGATAGAGCGTTGGCCTGCGGACTGAAGGGTCCCAGGTTCGATTCCGGTCAAGGGCATGTGCCTAAAATGGCTCAGTGGTTGAGCATCGACCTATGAACTGTTGCGGGCACATCCCCTGTAGAGGGTGTAAGGAGGCAGCTGATCGATGATTCTCTCTCATCGATGTTTCTAACTCTCTATCCCTCCTCTCTGTAAAAAAAATAATCAATAAAATATATTTAAAAACAAACAACAACAACAAAAACTCTGTTAAGTTAGCATCTCTCTCTCCGGCATGCTCCGCAATGGAAGGACACGTGAGCTGCACCCCATCCGCCCCCAGAAGAAGCCACGCCCCGCGAGGCGGACTCATTTGAAAGCGGTTCCCACGGGGACTTACCTTGGGCACCGGCACGTACACAGGGGGGCGCTGCGGCTCCCGGGGGCTGAAGAGGGCCGCCAGCCGCCCGGTGCCGCCTCCGCCTCCGCCGCGGCCCAGGCTGTCGGCCACCTGTCCCACCAGGTAGTCTCCTCCCTCCGCAGGCCCATGGCCGCCGCCCGGGCTCTGCGGACCCACAGACGCCAGAGGCTCCGCGGCAGCGCGCCGCCCACCCGCCGGAGCCCGGGCCGGGCCGCGAGCCATCCCCCGCTTCGCCCCAAACTTCTCCTTCCTCCCGCTGCTGCGCGTGGCCTCCGCCATTCTGAGCCCCAGGCCTCCCGGAGCCACACTTCCTGTCGGGGCAACGCTACTTCCGCTCCTGCGTCGTCTCCCCCCCGCCCCCCTGCGGCCGTGCTGGGGGCGGAGACAGCTGTGCAGGCCGCAGCGAACACCCATTGGCTGGCGGGGTCTGGATCCTTGTTCCTGTTTTGTTTTTAATAGTTTTTTTTGTGTTTCTTTTTTTTTAAGTATACCTTTATTGATTTCAGAGAGGAAGGGTGAGGGAGATAACTTGCAATCCTGGGTTTGATCCCCAGTGGGGGTGGGGGCTGCTCAAGGCAGCCAATCAATGATTCTCATCTTTGATGTCTCTCCCTTGCTCTCTCTCTCTAAAAAAAATATACATATATATATTCCTTTTTAAAATACTTATTTGACGGTGCTAGAAAAAAAGAAATTTTTACCATTTGCAACAGCATGGATGGAACTGGAGAGCATTATGCTAAGTGAAATAAGCCAGTCAGAGAAAGATAAACATCACATGACCACACTCATATGTGGGATATGATGGCAACATAAACTGATAAAAATGGAGACAAGGGGCAGGGGAGGGGGTTAGAGACCAACCAAAGGACTTGTATGCATGCATACTTGTATAACCAAAGGACAGGCAAGGGCTTACCTTTGGGGATGGGAGTGGAAGGCGGGGGGGGGGGGGGGGGGGGGGGGATGTGTGTGTCATTGGGGGAAAAAGAATACATGAAATACTTTGAACAATAAAAAATTGTAAAAAAGAAAAAAAAAAGTACACATTTGAGCTTTCTAGGCCTTGAACTAGTATGCTTTTAAAACGGTATTTTCTCTTGGTGGGATGTTCATTAAATGGGTCAAAGAAACTATTGGTCTTAAAAGGTTTGAGGTAAAGCAGGGATTCATTAAATCACTGAGACCTTAAGAAAAAGATCAACATCCAGGTCCTACTGCAGCCAGGTAACAGGGACTCAGGGTGATTTAGCCTTCTCAGCGATTCCCATGTGCAAGAGTGGAGTGCACTAGAAGTATGAGACCAACAGGGTCCATGCAAATTAAAAGACAATTACAACTTAAAAGAAAAAGGTGGTGCCCTGGCCCGCGTGGCCCAGTTGGCTGGAGCTTTGTCCCAAGCACCAGAGTGTAGGAGGTTCGATTCCCTATCGGGAAGCATCCTCTAGGTTGCCCTAGGTGTGCGTATTGGATATAAGACATGGGTCTCTCCCCCCCCCCCCCCGCATCAATTAAAAAAAAAGGGGGCAGGGGGCTGCTGGTAATGGTTTTAACTGTGTTAAAGAAAAACATTTTGATTTTATTCTTAGACAAATCTCCAAGTCTTAGGTATTCATCACGCTCAGACTCAAGCAAAGATAACAGAAGGCCTAATAAATCCTGTATCTGGCTGAAACCGGTTTGGCTCAATGGATAGAGTGTCGGCTTGGGGACTGAAGGGTCCTGGGTTCGATTTCGGTCAAGGGCATGTACACTGGTTGCGGGCATATCCCCAGTAGGGGGTGTGCAAGAGGCAGCTGATCCATGACTCTCATCGATGTTTCTCTCTATCTCTCTCCCTTCCTCTCTGTACAAAATCAATAAAATATAAATAGAAATAAATCCTGTATCTGGTTAGTGGACTTTCAATTTTTATGGATAGAACATTCCCTTTCTGTATGTCAAATTAACCCCTCTTGACACTACAGCATGGAGATATATGTTGCAATCAGTCATCATGTACAGAAATGAACCAAAATTACTTAATCTTTTAGAAACAAAATCAATGGCTCACAAACTATGGCATTTTATTTCAGAGCCTTTGCTTACATTTGTACAATATATTACATAATTCTTCATTGTTTGCAGATCCTAATATATACTTTATAGCTTTTATTCTATAAGCTTTTTCTTCAATGTTTTGCTGTCAACAAATCTTTACAATCCTGTACAAATTTGAGTAACTTGAAACCATTTTCAACAAAATTAGTTACTGTAAGCACACACTACAAGACTGAAAAAGGCTTTTCTTAGAAAAGTTGAATGTAAAGGACTGACACGTTAGCATCTACAACAAAACACTTCAAAATTCTCACATCATTTTGCCTGAAAACAAATAAAACATGCCAGCCCCATTAAAAAAAAAAAAAAAGTACACAGAACTACAATTAAAACAGTAAAACAGTCTGTACAGTAAAGTACTGTGTATTAACAGTGCCAGGTATTAAATAGCTTGAATGAACACATCCGCAATATACAAATGTCTTACAAAGGTGGAGAATTAAATACAAGTGCCAAACAGAACAGAGGTTGGAATCATACAACATAAAGTCAATACAAGTGAAAACAATTCTGCGTCCATTTATTTTATACAAGGCATTTAATTTCATAGGCCTACTACCCGATTACCTATTTATATTTCAACCTTGAACCATACTCATACAATTTACTTGTTCCTGAAGTCCTCTTGTTGTAGCTCATAATAAAATAAGCAATACAAATGAGTTATCTGTATTTAAGGAAAAGAAACATTTACAAGAAAACACAAAAATATAACTGTTATAATTCATTATGAATAAATATACACTTTGAACTGGCTAAATACAATCTTTATACATTGTTTAAGATTTAATACAGTTTATTAGCCATTTTTTCCCCCACACAATGTATTATATCAAAATTAAAAAAAAATACTGATTTATAGAAAAATGGCAAAGTACAGTAGTTCCATTCCAATTTGAAGGGGATGAAAAGCCACTGCAAGACCTTTTAGCCTAATTCAAACCTGTAAACATGTTCAGTCTTTTTTTTAAAGAGAATCTTTAATATTTGGTTACCAGGACTGGTGTCTGATGTCCCGTTAACGGCAGGTTTTGAATTTATTACATGTGCTTGACTTATACAATTAAAGCCACCAAAGTGACTCTCTTTAAAAAACAATTAGCTTGTACAAATGAAAATAGGTTCATATTTTTTTCATAAATAAATGGAAAAATATCAAATGCTCCAGCTTTAACAAAATACAAGGGAATACATATACAGTAAGTTGTCTCACCCTTTTCTGGCCACCCAATCATTACGCTTACTGTATCGTCTATACAGGCAGTGAAAAGCCTCCATTAGCCACAGTGGAAGGCCTTCAAGTCACCAGACACACAATTCCCAGACAAGTTGGAAACAATTATTGCTTGAGGAAAAGCAGTTCATTGTACTTTTTCTTCATAAAAAAAGTGCACTTAAGTGCCAAGTCAGCTTGTCAAGAAACATTTTTTAAATATAAAATAGTGCTTTGTGTGATTTTGTTCTGTGCCACTGTGCAGCATGAAAAGGACGTGGCCCTCCAGCCATTAAGTGCAAAGTGCTTGAGCGAACCCTGCTGTCACCTGCACTCAACCGACACTCCGTTCTGCGATGCGCTGGACACCGGCGGTTCAGCTAACGTTAACATAACAGCAGCTGTGATGGAACTGGATGAGGGTGAAGAGGAGGAGGAGGATGTAGCAGCACCTACAGGGAGAGGAAAACCCAATCAGCAGCTTAAAGGAACATATACCCAGCAATCAACAGGAGTAAATCACTAGACTGCATTTTTATTTTTAAATTTATTCTAACTGATTTCAGAGAGAAAGGGAGAGGACGGTAAGAAACAGCAATGAAGAGAATCAATGATCATCTGACCCCACACACCTTCTACTGGGGATCCAGTCCACAACCCCAGCATGTGCCCTGACAGGGAATCGAACCTGTGACCTCTCAGTGCATGGGACCGAGCTCAACCAACTGAGCCACAACCGGTTAAGGCCGCAGCACTTTTCACTAACCAAAATTCTATCAGAACTTTTGGGGAGCAGACTGTATGCTCTATGGAAGTGATTATAATTTGAGATCATTTTTCTTTCGGTAAAATTTTTCCACTTGATGGGTGGGGATAAGACGACAGCTTAAAGATACACATGACAAACTCCTGTGAGTCTAATGCAGTCACAGCTGCTTTATGTGTAAGTAAAGGTAAACACACTTACTTTCTCTTTCTTTCTTCTTCAAACGCTTTCTCCTACGATCAATGGAAGCTACTTCAGATTTTAATGACAGATAATGTTTTCTGATTTCTTGCAATTTTTCTTGAAGAATTGTGATGCGTTCAGCAGTTGTCATATTTTCAAGGTCCGCTGCAAATTTTAAAACTTTTATTAATATGTATTTTTGAATAAAATGTTAAGATATAAAAGAAACGACATATAGTGTGGCTATAGAACGAGGTCAAGAAGAAAAACTAGAAATAAGGCTTGTAGATTTGTTTCCCTAAGTTTTTTTCTTAGCCTAGAACAATGCCTAGCGTATAACATAAGCACAATTCTTACTGAACTAATGTGTGGAGAATTAAAGACCTTACAACCTGCACATGTATGCTAAAAATTCCATACCGTGTACAGTATCATCACAGTACATCGTATAAACTCAGACTTAGAAACAAGACTGGGAAGACACCAAAATGTTAAAATTGTTTATATTTTCGAATGTCAGGATTGTGGATACATTTTTTAAAATCCTTTTTATATTTTTTATGAGTATATATGTATAACTTTTAAATTGGAGAAACTTTTTTTCAAAGGCTCTAAGGCAATTTTCAATATCCCAAGGATATTTTCAGAAGCTGGGGTGGTCTCCAACCACCAAAAAACATGTGTGTGTGTGTGTGTGTGTGTGTGTGTATGTATATATGTATATGTATATGTATATGTATGTATGTTATGGAGATTTCTCATGTCCACTGAAGTACAGAGTACACTGAAGCCCCATACACCCATCACCCACCTTCAGTTATTAGCAATTCATGTCGAATCTTGTCTCATTTATACCCCTTACACTCCCCACCTCTTATCAGAAATACCTAGCCAATGTTGATATTTTCCTTCAAATTTTCCTGTTAGCAATCTATTTATTCAAATCAAGATCCAAATCAAGCCTCTATGATGCAACTGGCTATTGGGTCTCTTAAGCTTGGTTGTAAACTGCCTTTCAGTGACCCGCATCCAGAGTGACCAGGTGAAGCTGCCACAGACTGACCCACTGGCCCTCAGCCCCGCCACTCACACATCTGGAAGGTCCACTTGTAAACTTTGGGGAGCCGGCTGCTGGGCTCCTTGAGGTCGGGCTCCTTGTCCCCGTTCCTCCCACACTTCCCTGGCGACTGGGTCCGCGCAGGCGACTTGGCGCTGTGGGCCTTCCCCGCCGTGGGGAGCGGTCTGGCCGGCTGCGGCTTGGGGGCCCCCTCGCCGGCAGACAGCTCCTCGCTGTCACTGCTGTTGGCTGAAACACAAGCGAGAGGAGCGCGCTGGGAACGGGAAGGCAACAAAGGTTCTGGCACCGATCCTAGTGGTCAATTCAAATCACCATGTGAATTTACTCCTACCGAACAAATACAACTTGTGTCGTGGCAGCTGCCTGAACGCCCGAAAAACCACCCTGTACAAAGGCACCGGCACAGTTAGGCAAAACGAAACTCCTCTTACCTGAGTTGCCAATAGTATTTTTTAAAGAAAAACACAAAAAACAACCCTAATCTTCCATTATACCTGGTAAACTGTCAAATTACAGTAATTATCTCAATGGCTTTTTATTCCATTATGTTAATATGTAAAAAAACAGAATACAGCATCTTTTAAACTGACTCATTATAAAACTTCTTCATTTTGACATTTCAGATTGTATAGATGTACACTGCTCCTCTGGCCACAAACTGATGCATAATCATCACGTTCAATAAAGATTATTCGGGAGTAAACACTAAACTTTGATACATTAAATGAATTTCTCAAATAATAGCTTGCTAACTGCAATAAACCATCAGTTTTACCCGGGTAAACAGATTCAGTAATTTATGAAAAAGTCTTAGGTCTATGTAATATTCTGTTACACATGTTTTACTGACTAAAAGCCTCAGCACCATAGAAATGGTTAACACCTTGATAAGTTTAACATGTGACTGACTAAGATGATGGCACTGATTTTCCCCTCAATGTCCTCTTTCTGGATTAAAAAAAAAAAAAAGTATTATTTTAGATTTCATGAGAGTTAATTCATTTAACTGAATTATTTTCAAAGAATGGATGGTATCCTCATTCTGATTTACCAAGGTGTAAGCCCAATAATTAAAACGTGAGAAAGCAATCAACAGTTTTATCTTCAATTGTGTGAATGTTAACTGTGTTGCTGAAGATGACCCCTCTTAGGAAATGCCACTTCAATGGTAAAGTCTTGAAGACAAAAACATCACAGTGTGATAAAAAATGCTTTAACTATCCTGTCATTTACTCCAAATAATTGACGATCAAATTGGCATCTACTCATTGACTCTTCATTTAACCACAGCTACCAAAAATAACGAAATACGTTGGCTCTCAAGGCCTGAGACATCTCCCGGGGAGGTGCAGGGCGTCTCCTCCACGTGGTGTTCTGGGGGTAACCACGCTCTGCCACCACGTCTCCTAATCACAGCCCCGCCCAGGCCCCCTCTGCTGCTCTGGAATCTCTGATAACTCCTCGCTCAGCCCCCGAGGCTCGGCCCACTCGGACGCAGTGGCCTGCCTCGGCCTGGCTCTCAGGCCTTGCTGAGCACAGCCGCCCGGGGCCCCAAGGAACGCCATATTCACCGCCTGGAAGTCATATGGGCTCAGCAGAGCCTCGGGCGCTGGCTGCACAGCCCTTTCTGCACCGAAGTGCAGCCAAGCCGGCCGAGAGCCGAGGTCAGGCGGTGGGGGTGGCAGGAGTCTCCTGGAAGAGCAGCAGGAGTCAGTGCGGGGACCTGAAAAAAAATTCTTTACATATTTTCCGCTTCTCACTTCGTCTGCAAGAGAGAGAGAACACGTGCAGCCCTCAGGAGAAATACAGTACATACAGCCCTGCAGGTGGGCGAGAGTCATTGCTAAAGTCAAGTCTTCAGTCAGAGCCCCTTAGCCAACGTGCACAGTACACACTGCTCATGGCTACTCTTGGCCACATGGCTGAGGTACCCAAGGTCAAGGTTGGCTGGAGTTGTTGGGATGACAGCGCCAAAGCTGTCTTGACTGTTCTCTTCTAGGCTGATTTTGCCTTGAAGAATGACAAAGCCATCCATTTATCGTAATAAAATAATACATAATGTGATGTACAAGGGGAAAGAACTGTGGAGCATAAAACAAACATGGAGATGTTGTTTACATTATAGGAGAGGTGGCTGTTATTTTAAAAAAGATTACTGGCCCATTCATCAGCAATGAATGACACCACTGAATAAGATCAAACCGCTTAATCCAAGAATTGACCTAGGCTGTGAAGACCTGTGTGGTGTTTTGTGGGTAGCGACAGAATTAAAATAGACTTAGCCCTGGCCGGTGTGGCTCAGTTGGTTGGAGCGTCATCCCACAGATACACTGAAAGGTCCCAGGTTCAATTCCCAGTCGGGGCACATACCCAGGTTGTGGGTTTGTACAGGAGGCAAGCAATCAATGGTTCTCTCTCCCATCTATCTGACACCCTTCCTCTCTCTCTCAAATCAATAAAAAACATATACTCAAGTGAGGATTAAATAAAATACATATATTGGCTTATACCATATCCTGAATACCTTAATGGGGAGAAAATATCCGCCATAACTTACTGGTATAGTTGACATACAGTAATTACTTTCAGGCTTACAAAACAGTAATTCAACATTTATATACCTTACAAGTGAGCACCACATCCGTCATTATTTTTATGTCTAAAAAGTTGAGGTTTTACGACTTACTGCCTTTTCCCTTCTTTTTGTTGTTTACCACCGTTGCTTTATGGCTTCGTTTCTGCTTTTTTGATGAACTTCCTCCTCCCTGAGCTTCTTTCACTCTTTTCTGACCTGTACAGGCTACAGAGGGAAAGGAATTATTAAGTAACACAATATACAAATCAAGCATTTCCTAGGTATGACTTCATTCCACATTTTATAAGTACAGAACAATTCTGACTCTATACATGCTCTTTGAGATTTATAAATTTATCATCAAACTTAGTGTTATTTTTAAAATATTGGGTCGGCAGCTAAGTAATTGCGGATTTTTTAAAGAAAATCAAAGACACTTTTTTCATGGAACTAAATAACTTTATTCTGTAATGTATTGCCCATTTTGATCAATGACCTTTTGCCATCTTTCAGGCAGCATCATAATCCCACGTTCAAAAAACTTCTGGTTTTTATTAGCAAAAAACTGAATCAGGTATGATTTGACATCATCATCATTATTGAAATTTTTACCATTCAAGGAGTTTTGTAAAGATCGAAACAAAAAGTAATCAGATGGTGCAAGGTCAGGACTATATGCTGGATGTGGCAAAACATCCCAACCAAGCTCCATTAATTTTTGCCGAGTGACCAAAGATGTGTGTGGCCTTGCATTGTCATGATGGAATACAACACCTTTTCGATTTGTCAATTCGGGCCGCTTTTCTTCAACTTCATTGTTTAATTTCGTTAGTTGTTCAATGTAGACATCAGAATTGATCGTTCGGTTGGGTGGTAAGAGTTCAAAGTAGACAATTCCTTTGTAATCCCACCAAACTGATAACAAAACCTTCTTTTGATGAATATCAGCTTTTGATGTTGTTTGAGTTGGTTCACCTGGCCTGCTCCACGATCTTTTCCGCTTGATATTGTTGTAAACAACCCATTTTTCATCGCCAACTATCAGTCGTTTTTAAAATGGATCATTTTCATTACGTTTCTTTAGCAAATCGCAGCTGCTAATGCGTTGCGTTAACTGTGATTCTTTCAATTCGTGAGGAACCCATGTATCGAGTTTTTGAACATAGCCAAGTTGTTTTAAGTGATTTTCAATGCATGTATGTGATACATGAAGCTTCTCTGCAATCTCACGTGTTGTACTGTGACAGTCCAAATTGATTATTGCTTTGATTAGGGCGTCATCAACTTCAACTGGACGACCAGAGCGTTTTTCAACTTTGAGTGAAAAATCACCAGAACGAAATTTGGCAAACCAATTTTGACACTGCCGTTCTTTTAAGGCTTCGTCACCATAAACAGCACATAACTTTTTATGAGCTTGCGATGCGTTTTTCCCTTTGCGGAAATAAAAAAGCAAAATATGACGAAAATGTTCCTTTTGATTTTTCATTTTTCAAGGAACGCCAAACGAAAACTACAAAACAGATCAAAAAACTTTTTTTACTGATTAACAGCTGAATAGCCAACTATCAAATAACAAAATGTGTTTTACATTTGTACTACGTCTGCAAACCTAAAAATTCAACTGAAGCCATATATGTGTGAAACCCGCAATTACTTCGTTGCCGACCCAATAGATTGTTATTAATGAACTGACTTATTAAGTTAGAGGGTTGTTCTCTTTTTTTAAAGCAAAGGAAGTGTGAACATCCTTCTTAGAAAAATCAGATATAAACTGGAAATAGTTCTCAATATAGTACTGAGAGCTTTTAAGTCTAGTAGGAATTCAAAAACAGGCATATGCTGAAAATAAAAAGTAAAATTTGTTAAAATTCAGTAAAAGCAAAATATTAAAAATTACAGGTTAAATATTAGTAATATATCTTATAATGATATTAATGTAATTTTAAATGCCACGATACGAATGGGATAAATTTTAGTAGTAATTGACAGTTATAGTACATATTTATTTATTTGATCAGGAACTTAATCTCAGGGCACTGGTTAACTCACACAGCATTTACAAATCCATTACAAATGGCAGTTCTAAGTTAACGGTTCATCTTCATGGTAGATTATCCAAAATATTATGTGTCTCCTTTCCTGTAAGGACCACTTTCCCTGCTGCTCAGGCTTCCCCAACTGATCACTCCTCTACACTGTAGTCTCTATACTAGGGGTGTCGAACTCCATCAGAGAAGGGGCCAAAATCTAAAATCCAGCCTAAATCGCGGACCGAATGGTTTACTGAACAGTCATAAACTGTCATTGTGATGGAAACGCAGCGGAGTGCAGTGATGACAGCGCGGTGCGGGCCACATTGCAAGGCCTGGCGGGACGGATTTGGCCCGCGGGCCTTGTGTTTGACACATGTGCTCTATACATTTTCCTTTTTACTGATCTAGCCTGGGCAATTCAGTTCCCTGAAATAGTATGGAGACAAATACAATCAGAGTAGCTATGATCTGTGAAGGTAAAAAAAAAAAAATCAATTATACATTCTACTTAGTATTTGTTGTTCCACAAGAAGTATGTTAAGATTTGTGTGACAATGTTATAGCAATTTTATCTCAATAAAGCTGGAAGAGGAAAAAATGATTTGTGTGAGAAAAGTTGGATCTTAAGCTTAGCTAAGAACCTAAAGCTAGCATTTTAAAAGCTGGTATGTAACATAAAATACAGACCCTACCTGGTGCTCTGCCTTTACCATGGAGAGAGTGCTTTGAAGCCAGAGTCAGACCAGAGCACATCAATTTAAAGACACCTGAGCGAAGTGGTTTATAAGAAAAATGACGACAGAAGTATAGCTATGGCGCTATCAAAAGGTACTAGTATACCGAAACCGGTTTGGCTGTGGATGGAGTGTCAGCCTGCGGACTGAAAGGTCCCGGATTCGATTCCGGTCAAGGGCATGGACCTTGGCTGCCGGCACATCCCCAGTAGGAGGTGTGCATGAGGCAGCTGATCGATGATTCTCTCTCATTGATGTTTCTAACTCTCTATCCCTCTCTCTTCCTCTCTGTAAAAAGTCAATAAAATATATTTTTTTTAAAGAGAAAAAAAATATATATAATAAATATATATATACTTAAGCTGCTCATGCCACACAGTCCCAGTGTATAAGGAATTTTCTAGCAGGTCTGGCCTGGGCCTGGGTGCAGAGGACAGCGAGTCCTCCTCCAGCTCGGAGATCAGTGCATTCCGCTATTCATTACCCACGGGGCTTTGCAGGCTCCCACTGGGGCCCGATCACTCAGGAGGCCCTGGAGGGGGGCACTGAGGCGGCCCGCTCGCCGCTCACCTTTCTCGGGAGGCTCGGGCTCGGGCTGGGCGCTGCTGCTGGAGCTCACGCTGGCGTCGCAGGCGGCGGGCGAGCTGTTGCCCTCGGACTGCAGCTCCTGCAGCTCCCCGGCCACGCTGTCCACCTCGATGGTGCTGTCCGTCTCGCTCTTGATGCTCCGCACCTCCTCCTGGTTTGGGGCCAGCGCGTCCGATGCGGGCACAGGAGCCGGCTGGGGGCCGGCCTCCGTGACCGTGACCGTGACCGAGGCCGGGGACTCCGGGGTGGTGGGCGGCGTGTTGAGGACCGAGTTGCTGCCGCTGCTCGGGAAGTCCGCCTTCTTGTCGCCGGCTTCCAGGGGCTTGTCCTCGGCGGGCTGGGGGTCGGGGCCGGGGCCGGCGGGCAGCGGGGCGTCCAGCTCGGTGCCCCCGGGGGAGCAGCTCTCCTCCTCGGCCACGGGCTGCAGGGCCCCCTCGGCCGGGCCCTCCTCCGGGGCCGGGTGCGGGGGGGACGCCGCGGCCTCGGTGTCCGAGTCGGAGAAGAGCTCCTTGAGCGTCTTTTTGGGCCACTGGCCTTGGATGCTGGACCAGACGTCTTTGCGGTCCTTAGCTCGGCTGTTCTGAAGCCTCTCGTCCGAGCTGTTCAGGAGTTTGATCCTCTTCTCCGCCACCTCGGAAAAGCCCGGATAGAAGCCGGTGGTGCGCAGAGATTTCCGCTTTTCCTCCAGGCCGTTGTACTTCTTCGTCGGCGTCAGCTTCGCTTTCGGTTTCCCTTCTTCGTCTTCATCGGAAGAGCTGTTGCTGCTGTTCTCTACGCAGAGCGAGTCTTTGTTCTTGGCCTTCTCGTCCTTTTTGCTGGGCGACCCGGTTTTCCCGCCCTCCTCCGTGCTGCAGTACCTTCTTTTCCCACGTTTGACCTGCGGCTTTGAGGCTCTATCGGGGGTGTCTTTCTTGCCATCCTTTCTCTTTTTGGTGACTTCATCTTCTTCGTAATCGGTATCTTCGGACACGCCCTCCATGTCTTTTCTTAACCTTTCCGGAGACTTGGACGCTGGTTTAGGTATTACCAACTCTGCGTGGACCTTGCTTTCTTCCAGCAAAAATGCGCTGTTCTGTTCCTCCTTTGAAAGGAGGTCATTTCTGGCATGGGCCAAGCACTCCGCCTTCGATTCCTCCTTGCCAGCACTGTCCATGTCGTGAGCACCTGTGTCGTCATCCTGCTCACTGTCTTCCGAACTTTCAGAAGCTGGAAAAGAAAGAAGAAAAATATTTCCTCTATTAGTTAGGCACTTGCTAATTTCTCCGGCCCTGGTCTGGGCTCGTGAAGGAGCCAACCAACTGATGTGCCTCTCTCACATCGATGTCTCTCTCCCTCTGTCCCCCTCTACCTAAAAATCAATGGAAAAATATCCTCAGGTGAGAATTCACAACAAATAAAAAATATCTCATATTTTTATAACTCTTTTCAAGTTATTTTTTATGGAGATACATTCTTTTACTGCATGTGATGGATCAGATCGTCCCCCTCTTTTCCCTGCCAGCCAGATTTATAAACCTCCCCCTCTCACCAGTCTTTATCACTGTTATTATCTGATCGTTACAGTTCATCCTGCTGTAAGTATTAAACAGTAATGTCACCATAAAAGAGAATATAATAAATGTAATTAAGATAAGCTAAGTTAAATATTCTTTACAAAAAATTCAATTTATATTCTAATATGGCATAACAAAAATTGTGCTTTCCATGGCAACGGAAAGAATGGAATCCAAAAAAAAAAAGCACAGAATCAATACAATAGGATGAATATTAAATGTTAACTACAATTTACTGGTGCCCTTGGATCTACTAACAGAAATATTTCTAAGCCTCAATCAATGGCTGGCTTTCTTTCAAGTAACAGAACAAAAAAAATTCTGGTTCAATTAAAAAAACAATTTGATGTCAATGAATAACCTTTACAGAATTTGATTTGTAAAAGCGAACAACACTTGCATGCAAAAAAAACACTTAATATATTTACCTTGAAGTCCATTGAGTATAGAAGTGATTTCTATAGATTTAATATGAGTTGTATCAGAGTTTTTGGCATCAGTAAGATCCAGTTTAGACACTATTTCAGGAGATGAATTTGTCTGAAATGGTGGTTTTGACAAGCGCCGAAGTTTACAGTTTTTAGGAGAGTATTTTTCATCTTTGTCTTTTTCTTTGTCTAATTTATTCTAGATTAAAGGAGGGGGGGGGGAGAAAGTATCTCATGTTAGCCATAATTTATCATGAGGCATTTATCAGTAACATTGTCAATACTAATTTTAACTCTTTTAATATATTACCTAAAATATACAAAAAGCCCCTCAAAACAGCCACAGAAGTTTTTCAATATTTAACAAATAATGCAGGATGAGCAAAAAGTTCCTGTCTATTATTTATATGAAATACATTAGCAATCAGGCAGACCATTAAGACTAGCATGCCTCTGGGGTACCTGAAACCTATATAACTGTGCTCACCGATGTCACTCCTCTTTTCCAGCAAAGACCGGGAGTGAAGATGAAAAGGTCCGATGAGGCCACACCAAAACTCAACCCAATTTTACAGTGAGGAAAGAAAGACCATTTTAGGGGAAAACTCTCACTATTAGGGGCCACTACAGTATTGTTTAGCAGGAAAGTAAACGGCGTCTCACTTTGAATATGAAAAGTGTATTTCAGAAGAACTGCTAAACACCGCAAATACATACGCCATTCAAAATATTAAAACTGTTCTACAGCTAACGGTCTGCTTTCCAAGAAAACTTTGGAGAGAGTTCAACTTAGAAAGAGCAATTGGATCACACAGAGAAGTGACATCAACATCCGCACGGCGGCCTCTGTGGGAACCGGCTCTGAGCCACTCCCTGCGCTCAGACCAGGGAGCCCCCTTTGCTCCTGCGTGGTTTGCAGTTAGCACGTGATCCAGGGCTCCCTCGTTGGAAATTAGAGGGCAGGAGAGGGTGGACACGGGTCAGTGAAAGCTGCTGTGTGGCCATCTACAATGATGAAGCTGAGAAGGGTCTCACAGGTCACTGAGTACAGTTTCCAACATGTCTTTCCATAAGTGACAGTATTACTGAACCCAAATCTAGCTTTTGCTTGTGCATCTTGTATACATCTTGTACAAGGAGTATTTCTAGCGCTGCTAACACTAATGCACACACACTTAATGCATAATTTTGGGGGGAAAGTTCTTTAATGAAGAATTGTGATGTAGAGAAAAATAAGCACTTACCTTTATTTTTTTCCGATGTTTTATCTTTGGCACATTTTTATCAGCAGGTCTTACTATTTTATCTGCTTTAATCCATTCGTCATATCTAAAGTTAAAGGAAACTGATATAAATATACAGACATATACCACAGAGATACTTATGGCACATTAAAAAGAAACTCGTAAATAAATAGAATCATCACATTTTAGGACTGGAAACAACCTTGGCGATCACTTAGTTCAACTTCCTGGTTTGATGCATACAGTTACCAACTGCCCTGAATGGTGTGGCATTGTCTCATGCACAGGAGGGTTGAGTTTGATTCCCAGTTAGGGTACATGCCCGGGTTGCCGGATCGATTCCTGGTACGGGGTGTGCAGGAGGCAGCCAATCTGTATTTCATTCTCACATTAATATTTCTCTCTCTCTAAAAATTGAGACTGCCTGTTAGTGATTAGACCATACTTTTTAAAACCCGTTTTCAATAAATTCCTTATAATTAAAGCATAGGATTTAGACAAGTATCCTACTGGATATTTAACTAAAATACTAATAAATATTTTCAAGTATGTACAATGATTTACTTGAAAATATTTCTTCTGAGTCATCTAACTAATGAAACAAACATGAAAGACAAGATGCACAAGCAACTCAGTGAACTTCCGAAGGTCACTCCCTGGGGGAGTGACCTGATCAAGCCTGTGAACTCCAAGACCAAAAGCATGAACAAGGGCAGAGTCACATGACAAATGGTCACACGACAAATACATCATCAGCACCTATCACGTGACAGGCTCTGAGCTGAGCACTGGGTACTCAGCAGAGAAGGCAGCAAAGCTCCTTCATGCAGGGAGCTTACCAGTGAACAGAGATGCAACACCAAGTGGGAATTACAGAGGGACAACCTTCTGAAAGAAGGTACGTAAACATTTGCATTTTTAAATATGATGAATTAAAATATTTAAAGAAAGCTAGAGGAAATCAGAGACCATAACACAATTGCTCTCACCAGAGAAAAGTCAAGTTCAAAAAGGAAAGCTTTATCGTTTTTGTTTGGATATGTTGGCAAATCACCTAAACAACCACTTAGCAATAATAAAAATGGAAAAGACTGTCAGTCAGCCAGACATAAATGGTTTCTGTACCCAACATTGATTCAGATGTGGCTCTTCAACACAACTAAACCTTTTCCAGAGGAACCTCATCAGCATATGTTAATATACACCCAAAAGACATAATCAGAGATTAGAAATAATTACACGCAAAATAAAGATATTTTCAAAATAATTTCATAAGCAAAACCCAATTGATAAATACTAAAAATTCACTACCTGAAATATGTAGATTATTAGGCAATTTTATTGATATTTACCTACTTGATGAATTTCCTATTATAATCTCAACACATATTTTTTTTATTATTTTTAATTGATTGATTTGAGAGAGAGAGGAAGGGAGAAAGAGAGAAACATCAATTGGTTGTTTCAGTTATTTATGCATTTTATAGGTGCTCTGACTGGGGATTGAACCTGCAACCTTGGCTTATGGGGATGATGCTCTGAGCTCTCCGGCTATACCTGTATTTTTAATTTGAGAAAATATTTAAAACAAAATTTATGAAGACTCACTGAACACAATTTTGTGCTTTTAGTAATGTACTTCAGATACAACGAAAATAAAAGTATATTACTGAAAAGCTAAAATTCTAAGCATGCTATTAACATTCCGTATTTCTATTTCATGTAATACTGTTAAGTCCATACCAAAGACACAGGAATGGTATTCATCATAATAAAGAAAATAACAGCATCATGATAGAAACATAATTATAGCATAATTTAAGATTTGACATAACTACTCCGATGGAATGATACAGTAATGACATCAATCCATTTCCTTGGAGAATTAACTCTATTAGATGAAGTGAAGGCAGAGGCAGTAAGCAGCGTTCAGAACAATGGCAGAGCAGGTTTTATTTACAGACCACTGAAAAGGGTTAGCAACTGTGACTCACATACTGAGTTTCTAAAGTATCCCCAAAACTTTACTAATAACCGATCAGTTTAGAGGGTTACTGTATTTGTGCCCGTTTAGACAAACATACTACCTGTCAATCTACAAAGCCACAATGAAACAGGTCCAATTGTCATGATTTACATAAAATGTACCTGCTCATCTACAAACCTCTAAATGGGAAAGTCCCGTTTCATAAACACTCTTAAGTTGAAAACAGAAAGAAAGTCCATTTGATTGGTAAAGATAACTGCTTAATCTTTATTTCACACATACACAAAAAGTCTATTTTCACTTGCACTGAAAAACTAGTCAACGCAAAAGTCATTTTTTAAGTTTACCTTATTGCTTTTAAGCTTTGTTTTATATTTCTCTACGTGTAGGACTCTCTGATGCTAAGTATTTTGTATGCTACAAAAAATTTTTTCACAGCCTTTTGACTGCCATAGTACTTTTATTTGAATACGGAGAAAGTGGAACCTTAACAGAAAAGTTTGACAGGTCCCAGAAAATTAAGAGTTGCCATATATAGAGGAATAGGAGAGAGTCTAGACTCCAGCTGAGTCAGGCCACATCTGTCCCAACCCATCAATCTACAATCTACAAGAATGGCGTTTATAAACCAATCCTTTTCATTCGGATTTTAATTTCTGCCTCACTCCCATTCTGCTGCCAGAAGGTCTAGCTCAATATTCATTCACTAGTTATCACGTTTTTCAGTTTTGAATTAAGGGTATAAATAATAATTACATTAACATAAAGGTTTATATAGCATTTCAGAAAATACAGTGTTTGTTTTTTTGTTTTGTTTTTAACTAAGGTATTTTCCTTTTAAACCCTGTTTGCTAGAAAACGATGTTTCGGATCACACAACACTCACATAAATAGCCCCGCATGACTTTTTCTAAATTGCCATAGTCATGAGTGGCTGCCACTGAAAATAAAACTACTTTCATGAGCCTTCATGCATAAATCTTCATTTCCAATTTCACAGCAAGTGCAAATTCAGAGATCAAGCTGCGTTTCCGAAAATAATGGGAAAACAGTTGCAGAGCTGATGAGGGCTTGTTGCCGTCCTCATTAGATTAGCTTCAGACAAGAAGGAGCAGCAAAAATTATGTGTGATTTCTTTTCCTTTTTTATTTTATTTTACTGACGCCACACGCTGGGGATCTCCAATGCTCCCACCGTGATTTCTTATTCCTCAGAAGGACAGCCTTGGGTACTATTGCAGAGAGAGAGAAAAGTAACTGCTTCAGCTACTGAAGTGGCTGTTTTTGCTACGATGCTGCTGTGTGGGTTCCGCCCTACAGTTCTTCACCAAGATGGTTCAGTTCTCTTCTTTTCACGTTCAGACCACACCAATGCTTGAGCTGGCAGGAGTGAGCGCATCCTTCTCAGTGACACAGGCAAGTCTTGTAGAAGAGTTCTCCTTTTCCTTTCTATCTGACTAACCACCTGAATGCCTCCACTGAGAATCTCCCGTTATCCTGCCCAACCCACGATCAATTTCAAAGCTAAAATACCGAGTATTTTCTACCCCCTAAAACCCAAATGTTCCTGGAATAAGATACTTTCCTTTAGTCAATCTTTTCTTTTTCCCCCATTTTTTAAATTAAGGTATTATCTGTGTACATATCTTATCATTGCCCACCCCCACTCCCATACCTGCCCTCACTCCCCAATGTCTTGCGTCCACTGGTTATGCTTATATGCATGCATACAAGTCCTTCGGTTGATTTCCCATCTTCCCCACCTCTCCCTAACCTTCCCGCTTCAATCTCTTCTTAATGAGACAGAAAGTTTTGTCTTAACTGCAGAATAATCTTATGAATGTCTCAACTCACATATATACTAAGCCTCTTGTTTGAGATAATTAGTAGAAAACAATCAAGCCCTGATTATAGTGAAAGTTAGAGAATGCTTAAATTCTACCCACTCATCACAGAATTTAAAGCATTTTAAAAGGCTACTAAGAAAACTGCCTTGTTGTAGATAAACTAGCAAATATATATACATACATACATACATACATACATACATATACACATACATACATACATACATATATAAAAATAAAATAAACTAGCAAAATAACCAGAACTGAAAGGAGAAGGAAAAAAGATGATGTGGCTTTTATCTATCTTGTGGACATCATTTAATAATTAATTTTTGTTGACTCAATTTTCTCCTAATTTTAAACTAACATACTCAACATTTATACCCTAGGCAAAAATGGAACTCCCTCTGCTTTTATGTTGAATAAGACCATTTAATAGGATCAAAATGATTAAATACGATCATTGGGCAAAATATTCCTACAGCAACTGCATCTGAGATTGCGAGCGCCTTCCTCCGGACATCTCATCAGTGCCAGCACTACAGCGAGACACGTCACGCACCATGAAGGCAGCGTCAGGACCGACGGACGAGAACTAATTACACGCGATTTAAAAGTGGCGTCTGGAAAAGCTTGTTTCAGGACAACACTGATGACAGTGAAGTCTTAAAATTAAAAACTTGGTTAATCTTGTGGGCCAGAAATAAAGAACAAGCCCAATGGATCAGACCTGCACTTTTCTCACCATAAATAAGGAAATCGGATTAGATGTTTCTGGAGTTTCCTACTGCTGCAGCCAGACAACACAAAATGTACTTTTACGGAACAGAGTTAATTTATTATTTTTAAGAGATGAAATTTTTTAATGACTTTCCAAAAAATTTTTATAATTTAAAGCATGAGAATTATATTTATATTCCTCCTTGAAGAGACTAGGCACTCATGCAGCCGCCACTTAAAACTCCTGTGATTACCTTTCCAAGGGCTAGAATCTTATTTCAAAAATAGTATTAAACTTTCCCAAATGAAGAAGTTTTTCTTAAGATACCTAAATGATCAGATCCCAGAACTGACAGGAGCCTTGGACAAACTTAAAATACAGAATTTCTTTGGATAAGCCAAAGGCAACTTCTGGTAAGAAAAGCACTCATCCAGCCCAACCTGAGACCGCGCCTCTGCCTTGCCTGGCAGCTACCTGGGTGGGGAAAGGAGCACGTGCACTGAGCTGAGCTAAGCAGCCCCGCTTACATGGCAACCACATGCTTCAGACATGACACTACATTGCTGAGGCTCCTGAAAAACACCGCCACACAAGCACTGCCCAGAGGAGATAAGGCCTTCTTGAGATAGCTAACGCTTCTTAAGCAATCTCAGTGCTGAACGCCCTGCCTACTGAAAGAAACAGGATGGCAGAAGGAAGGAAATGACGACTTCAGAAGATGACAGAGGTTACTATGGCAAGGTAGCTGAAAATGCAAGAGAGCAAGAAGCCTGAGCATTGGCTGTAGGCATCAAGAAGCTCGAATCTCTCACATGTGTAAGGGTTTTCTATCATTTCACCAAAGTGTCGCTTTGATCCACATGTAATGTAAACATTATTGGACAGATACCAAGGATGTCTTCTAAGTATTAATAGGAGGTAGGAAGTCACTATACGAGGCATTTACATACTAAAAACTACTTATTTATTACATAGTGCTATGACCTTAATAAAAATACTAATCAGCCTATAGCTCGTTCATTACGTCTTAAAATAGGAAATCATGAATCAGTGTTTTCAGGTAGCAATCACTAGCTAAAACTCAAGTTACCTCACATTCCATCCGCAGTAATGGACCAAGTAAAGGACCTCTCCACCTTCGACATCAGAATCTTTAATACTAGCTTCATACATTTTTTGATTTTTCCCTCGTCCATACCGCACTTGGACTTTCATGCCTGGTGGATAGCATTCAAACTCCTCTTCCTCCTGGTTGTCGTCCTCCTCTTCATCCTCTTCCTCCTCGTCCTCCTCCTCCTCTTCCGCGTCTTCGTCGTCTTCCTCTTCCTCTTTATTCGTTTCATCTCTTGAAAGGTTTAAGAAATTGCAGTTAATATGGGCCCCTTCACAAGCTTTCCAGTTCCAAACCACATAAACTGATACAAATCGTGGCTGCGATTGCTCCGGGAACAGCAGGTTCCGTGCGTATGAAATGCTCTGGTTTTCAATTTAATATTAAAACTAAAACGGCATAAGACGACCATGGCTACAAAAAAGGTACATTAGAGAACAGAACATTGAAAAGTAAGTGCGTTAAAAGAAAGCTTCCAACAGCCAGACGGACAGGAGGTGTGCTGCAGAGCAAGGAACAGTGGACCGTTACAATTTTCTCGGGTTTTATTGTGAGAGTGTTTCACAGCTCGGTTCGCAAAAACAAAAACCATTACACCTCGTAGCCATTTTCTGACTACAATTATTGTTGATTCAAATATTTCGAGCCTCAGGATATTTAAAGCAAAAACTTCTCCAAGCCAGCGGCTAGTCTTAGTAACTTTAAAAGGTGCTCCGACTAACATCACATGTATTATATACTGAAATGTTATTGTACCTGTCCCAAGTATATGCTACTAACTTCACTTTCATATGCCATCAAGTTTTTTTCTCTTTATTCTTCTAAACTTCAAAATTTCTGCTCTCTTGACAATAGTCACTAAAATTCTTTTCTACCAACTCTCTCAACTTGAAAGTTCCAAGTTAAACCACTCTGATCTTTTCAGTATCCTGTACTTTCTAAAACTGAGTATTCATATTCCTTTTATATTAGCCACAAATCTGTATTGAACAAGTTGTGGAGAATCTCAAGCCATAAATCTTTCTAAGCACTAGATTGCAAAAAATCAATACTTTAGCATGAAACTCGACATTTAGTTAAGTTTTTATCTACTCTGCAGTATGTCTAAATGTATGACAACAGATTCCTCTCAAAAAGAATCCATCACTTTATAGCTGACCAATAAACATCATAGAACAGAATCACAAGACAGCTGAGCATTAAATTTTAAAAGTTAATAGAAATAATATTTATACAAAAAAGCCAACTTCCACGGATAATTTTTAATATTCTCATAAGCAACCTTTTTATCAATAACATGTTTTAGCATTCCTAATTAAACAGGCAACAAAAATAACATAGAAATAAGAGATAAAAGCATTATAACCCTTTTTATTCTACTGTTTTCCTTCTATACAGTGAGGGATGGGAAGGGAAGCACAATAAACTTATAAAATTAAGTCTGACTTCATAAAAGTGTCAAATGTGTCAATTTTCTCTGAAATATATCCCAAGTCTGTAAGGATTCTCAAGAATCATCCCTCTTTTAAAGACAAATCTACAGCCAAAGGAGAGAAGGCCTGGGAAGAGTGGGTGGGCAGTGAAGGGGATCAGTGGGAAAAATAAAGGGGACATCTGTAATACTTTCAACAACAGATAAACAAACAAATAACAGCCAAATGAATATATACTTAAAACCTAAAGGAAACCTACTGTTGTCTAAGATAAAAAATATGAACTCTATTATTGAAAGTACATGAACAGCTTTAAAATTAAAGATCAGTAAGGCTAAAATATCCAAGGAATTATCAGAAAGGGTGTTATGGATAAGCTACGGTATTATTAACAAGTTTAAACAAATGTTTTATCTGTGTATTACATACTATATACATATATAAAATTAAAAGTTAAAATATCAGGGGAAAAAGGAAATGTATTGTGCTGGCCACAACAAAACAAGAGACTTATTATGCACCTCAGAATCATGATATAAAACGAGAAAGAGAGAATAAAAAGTCTAACTTTTGAAAAAATGAAAACAACTCTAAACGGTACCTTATATCATGTAATATGCTCAACCAACTGACAAATGCCAAGAATTGCAAGCACCAGCCTACATTATGTGGTAGCCAGAGTAATCTTTATTTAATCTGAATAAAAACTCTGTACTAACAAATCAAAACCAAAACCAAAAATTTCACATTTAATAGCAACTTCAGACAACAATCAAATAAAAGTCATGAAAATAATATACTGATGCATAGATAACAGACAACACAATTACTGGCTTGAATCAGCCATAGAAAATTCTTCTAAGAATTCAGTAGCAAAATCAGAGGTAAGTGTACTAAACCAGATTCAAGACAGAATGCCAAGAAAGACAGCCTTTGAATGTGTAACATGCAACCAGCATACAGGTTAAAGAAATGAAGTTAATGAATACATTACATACAAATACACACCAGCAAGAATTTTTCATCTGAATTCACAAAGAAATATCCAAATTAACCAGTTTGATATCACACTCCTTACAATGAAACAAATTAAAAGAAAAAGGCTACAACTTACCAATACCTAGTATGGACCAGACGTGGAAATATGGAGGCAGGTCATTAAAAATTCTTGGTCGTAGCTAATTACTTAGTGGAAGTTATATATCAGAGAAATACTTCAATATTAATTCTTTAGATCTGTAAAATTTTCTATTGCACTGATATAATAAAATTCAGAAATCACTTGTGGACTTTCATTTCTAACACAGAATGCTTCTAAAAAATATCAAACAAGGGCAGTCACACCAGGATAATATCAGTTTGTGGTATGACATACACTAGTGTATCTCTGTAGTAAGAAAGCCATATAGTTGAAGAATTAAATGAATTAACAAAGCCCTACAAAATACAGATTTTACTAATAATAATGTTTTTAAAGTACTAATGTGAAAAGTAAAGATAATTACTAGTAACAAAGAGAAAATAAAGGCTTATCAGAGTGCCTTCGACACAGTAGATGTTCCAGAAATAGCTGCAGATTTAAATGTCACATTTTTAGGCAGAAAGCTAAATCCTTACTAAGTTCTTTCTTAACAGTTGAAATAGTCCCCAGGAGCAGTATGTATGATTTCAAATAAACATTTACATACACAGAACTATAACCAAATATAATGAAGAAACAAATTATATTCATCTAAACCAGGGTTATTTTTTTCCCCTTTAAATTTTATCTGCATGCTGAGGCCAAATTTGCAAAATAACACTAAAAGGATCAAGAGATTTTAGCAAAAAACTGGATATTCGTTAAGTTTTTTAATAGTTGCAATAGCAGTAAGGAATATATGAGCGATATATTTGTACACACAGATACGTAACAAAGATAAACACCTTTTACTATATTCATTAAACATGTTTTTCTTTTTCCTCCCTCCCTCCTTGGATTCATGCTGTGGCCAAATTTCAGATAAATATTAAAGTGATTAAAAAACATTGGTTGTACTTTTTGAAAAGGGCCAGCAACAGTGAGGAATGTTTAGGGTTTTTAAAGCTCAGAAATAAGATTAGATACCAAAGATCACTGGCAGTGTACAAATTACATTGCTAAATAATTCTTCATTCCAAACTAACCCAAACAAGTAAATGCTACTTGCACATAAAACACAGCATAACAATTTTGTCCTTTTAAAAACTAGTAATTATTAGCACTTTTCCATTCTTATTTTTTTGCTTAAGAAATGAATACAACTGTCAAAATCTACAGCCAACATACCACCTACAAAACATTGGCGAAAATCCTTTTCCCAAATTTGTCTTATTCGGTTATTTAGCAGAGCTTCATGTAGAAAAAAGGACTTTTCTCTAGCTGAAAATTTTATAAATTTCTATGATGAGAGCAAAAAGAATCAATCGAATATATGACCTTTTGCTACATTGGCATTGGTCAGGTCTCTGAAGTAGGCAAATGCAATTAGGGTACTAAGTACAAGTCAGCCAATTACTCTATATTTTGTCAATCAAATTTCGATTCACACATACACGCACATACCAAGAGAAAATTACAGGAATTCATTCGGCTAAAATGCATCTTAACCAAAAACAGAGTTCTTACCCAGATTTTGCTTTTTCTTCTTCAGCTTCTACCTTTATGCTGAAGGATTCATCTATCCCAGTTGTATCATCATTTTTGTCCACCAGATTTTCATTTTCTTCTGCCTTTTTTATGGTAACTTCTTTTTCCTGATCACTTTGTGTAGATATAGATTCTAATAAATTCTTTTTACTTCCCTAGAAAAAGATCAGAGCAACTAAACCAACAAAAATAAATACTATCAACTTAAATGTTGTTCTAATTAAAAAAGGTACCAACCAATACTAATATTGAGAAAGGTTTTAGTTATTTTAAGAAACTCCTGCATTCTTGCTGAGACCGGTTTGGCTCAATGGATAGAGCGCCGGCTTGGGGACTGAAGGGTCCTGGGTTCGATTCCGGTCAAGGGCATGTACCTTGGTTGCGGGCACATCCCCAGTAGGGGGTGTGCAAGAGGCAGCTGATAGATGACTCTCTCTCATCGATGTTTCTAACTCTCTCTCCCTCTCTCTCCTTTTCTCTCTGTACAAAATCAATTAAAAAAAAATATTTAAAAAAAAAACAAAACTCCTGCATTCTTAAAAACACTAGGCAGAACTATTGAACAGCTATTTTAAACACAAAAATAGAAATTACTGAAGAAATGCACAATCTAAGTATAAAAGTATACAATAAATTAACAAATCTTCAGAGTATGTGGAGAATTTACCAAAGGTGGCAAAGGATGCTGAAACCGGTTTGGCTCAGTGGTAGAGCATCGGTCTGCGGACTGAAAGGTCCCAGGTTAGATTCCGGTCAGGGGCATGTACGCTGGTTGTGGGCACATCCCCGGTAGGGGGTGTGCAGGAGGCAGCTGGTCGATGTTTCTCTCATCGATGTTTCTAGCTCTCTATCTCTCTCCCTTCCTCTCTGTAAAAAATCAATAAAATATATTAAAAAACAAAACAAAAAAAAACACAAAAAAACAAAGGTGGCAAAGGACAATATGGATTTACCAGGAAGGGTTTAATATTTTCCTTTCTTTCAGCATCATCCTCAGCAGGCTTTTCTTCTTTCATTATCATCTTCTCCTCCTCTTCAATCTTTATTTCTTTCATTTCTGGTTCACTTTCTTCCTTAACTTTTATTTCTTTTACATTTTCACACTCCTTACATGGCTTGTTAGCAACTTTCTCTGGCAGTGCCATTTGAAATTCAATATTGGCCGACCTGCAGTACTCCTCAAAACCATATAAGTATCTAGAAACATGGAGAGAAATTACATTTAGAAAAATTTTGAAATATTACTGTAGAGTTGTGGTTATTTAAATTTGTCCATTTCTCTTGGTTTTCAGATATGGAGCCTTATTAACATTCTCATTTCTTCTAGTTCAGTTCTTCCCGATCTTTTTAACCCAAATAGAAATTTTTCAAAGAAAGTTTCATTTAAAAAAACTATGCTGAAAGTGAGAAGACAGTCATAATCTTAAATATACTAACTGTAACAACAGTAGCTTTTACAAGCTCTAGTGACAGCATGTTTGTTGAGTGCTTCTTTATAAGCCAGGCTTTGGGCCGCTAAGCACATGTAAAGCCTCATTTAATCCTCAGAGTAATCCTATGAAGCAAGCAGTACTCTCTTCTTCTACAGATGAGGAAACTGAGGCTTAGGAGAACAAAGGAATGGTCCCAGGACACCGATTGCTAGTAACTGGCAGGACCAGGAATCAAACTTGTGTGTGCCTAACTTTCAAAACTTACCTGGCCACAAAAGCTGCTTCACAGACTATCTCATAGATCTAGTGTTCACAGAATGCTCTAGAAAATGTTATATTATAGTGATTGCTCTAGCGAAAATTTCTGATTTCTTCTTGGAGCCTCAGTTAGGGGATACATCCCATCCTGCTTTCTGGATAAAACAGGGAATATAGCTATGTCAAGTACACCGACTTACTTTTTATAAGCACATTTAACATTGTACCCTGCAGCTGAGTTTAAGACAGGGATTCCAAGGTCTTGGTAGACTTGCTTCCAAACAGCTCCACTTTCAATCTAATGGACAAAGTGAAATGAAAACTTCCAAGTTAAAGGTAGGAATATAAAAATATTTTTATAAACATAATATATATAAATGTTTATATTTATTAGTTTTAGTCTCAAATGGATGAAAAATATCCATCTCAATAAATACTAAATAAAAAATTGATTCACAACAATATTCTAAAGTTTTAGTATTCTAACAAATCTCAGAGAATTAATAAATGTTGAAATATTATAACATTTCATTTTAAATAAATCCTGTTACAGTAAATCAGAAAATGTCCAAATTCCTAATCAAAATTTATAATGAAGAAACCGAGACAGAAATTTTAAAATGACGTATCATGTCCCAAAAACCTTACAAGCTAATAAATCAAAGCAGTCCTTATGGCTTTTACTAAAACATTTGATTCTACAGAAAAAAATTTTCAGTCTTAATTAGATGAGCATCATTTGACATGGCAATCTTAAGATAATTTCTTCTAGTTCAAAAAAAGATGTTTCTATAAATACATATATAAATGATATGTTTTATATATCAGGCACAGTGGAAGAGATTCAGATATAAAGATTAACACAGATCCATGCTCCCAAGTATGGTACAGTTTAGTGGAAGACATAAGCAAAAATTTCCATCGATATACTGTAGTTATGCTGTGACTTAAGACATAACTAGGTGGTTTATGAAAGTCTGACAAACTTAACAAAGAAAGTTTCATTTAAAAAAACTATGCTAAATGTGAAAAGACAGTCATTTGAAAAATCAGTAAGTTAGAAAGCTCATTTAAAAAAAATCTTTAATTGAATTTAAATTTGTTCTGAGGAAGCCAGCTCTGTTTCTAACCTGTCACTTCCATTTTTTATTCATTGGAATAAATAATTTTAGATGAGAAAACATGTGTAAAAACATGCTTCACTTTTGATTGTAATACTTACATTATCAAATCCTCCAAGTTTGTGCACAAGTCTGAATAACTTAAAGAGATTCAAATTTCTATATCCAAGCACAGGTCGTTTGTTAATAGGTGTGCCTGTTAAGGAAAACACAAAATATATTAAAATCACACTGCATTTTTTATTTAAAATTTCAAAAGATTCAAATACAGTGCAGTGAGTGTATGCATACACAACCAAAGTGGGACAAAAGTAGCTTTACAGTTGTGAGTATAAAACAGTTTATTCTTATATGATTATTTATTAATTTATTGCGTTTTCCATTTGAACAACTGTAAACCAATTTTTGTCCTACCCTGCATATACATGGCAGGGGGGAAGGACGTCTACTAAAGTCCATTTCATTAACATTTTTCTCCCTCTTACCAGGTTGTTGAAACCTTATATGATTTCATTCCACTATTACTCTCCTTGTGAGTTAAAGAATAAATACCAAAGAAAGCATAATAATAATTTGAAAAATCAGGGAAACAAGGTTTGGTAACACTGCTGAAATGATGGGCACCTGCTTCACATGGCGTTGTCTTTATGCCTTCTTTGCATTTTAGAGATTTTTTCTTTAATGATGAGAGAAAAGTATCGATGTGTCGCTCCACTTACTTACGCATTCATGGTTGACTCTTGTATGTGCCCCGACACGGGATTGAACCTACAACCTTGGCATATGGGACAACACTCGAACCAACTGAGCTGCCCAGGCAGGCCTTCCTTTCTTTGCATTTTACTAAAGTTTTTTACTTCTGTAAGTGATTCTAGAGTAAAGCTATAGTTGTCTTTCATTCTAATATGGAAAAATGTAGGGCAAGGACACAAACTATTAAACCTTTAGAAAAGGTAGAGGAAATAAGGAACAGAGCTACCCAACCTATGGCCCTTTTCAAAAAATATAAAACTGGCATAATCACTGTTCTAATATTAGATTTTATTCACCACCTTTTATTTATGTCACATAAAAGCCTAAGAAATAGCCTACCTTCTTAGGCCAAGCCTGCATTTATACAAATAACAACACAGGAATCAAGGACAATGTATATTCTATAAAAAGATAACTACATGATAGTAGCCACTTATCATTTATGAAAAGACAAACAGAGCCAGCTTCTACTCATCAGCAAGCAAAGATTTAAAAATAACTAGAGTCAAGTGGCATTTCCACATCTTATTCATTCATGTCCTTATCCTCAAGGTAGAGAGCTTTCTGCTTCTCCCGACTTCTTTCCCTTGCTCGCATCTTCCCAGAAAGGAGAACCTACACTCTGAGCAGATGAGCAAGAGGGTAACGGTCCCGCAGGCCTGGAGAACTGGGGTACCACTACAGGCCAGCACCTCTTCCTCTTTCCCCCAGCCCTGCATCTATGTAATAACACTAGGCAGGTTCAAGGAGCTAAGCCACGCTTCACCTTGTAACACTGTCACATTTCTTTACTTCTAGCTCTGTGTGTGGGATCATTCTCTTAGCTGTGAGGCTGAGCCTTATAAAAAGACTTAGGGTCCATCTTAGAGTGTAGCTACCTCTCTCTCTCTCTCTCTCTCACACACACACACACGCGCGTGTGTCAAACAGTGGTTGTGGCATCTATGTGGGTGCAAATACAACGGTGCTGCTATGATCCCCGCTCTGCTGCTGCTCCCTAGCATCTGAGCTCTTTGGCAGAAGAGCACTAACGGGAATGAAGAAACAACAGGACAGAACACAGGCACTGATGGGTCCACGGCCATGACATCCATCAAAACACTGTCAGAGTCCTCATTCCCCTTCCCACGTGACAGACACATGCGAGGTGCCGGTGATATTGACAATCAAAAAGATGGCCAAGATTACCAGGAATAGGAAGCTTAATGAACAGAATTATTATTTTTAAATTATTAACTACGTATCTGATACCCGCAGTATTAATGATGAGAGGGGAAAAGGAAGGAAACACACTCACCTCTATCCTCCATGAATTTGTACAACTGCTGGAGAAAGTTTTCTCTTTCTTCTGGAAACGGTTCTATTTCTTCCTAGTTTTAGTCACAGAAGAACAGAATATTATTTTGCTCAGTTAAGCATTGAATAAAACAAGCAGATTTCCTACCAACAGCAAAGACTAATACTCACTACAATATTTCAAAGGTTTTTTTTTTAATCAAATACAAGTTATTTCTCAATACTAAGCTGTCCGAACCCAGAAAATTCTAGACATTTTAGGCTTTAGAGAGAGAGGAATGTGCCCTAACAGGTATCTCCAAAGTGACAATCCCAAATGTAAATTCTCACCTAAGAAATGAGACTACAAAGATGGGTTATCTCACGTAGGAGATCAAGGCTTTAAATCAGGGTCACAGGCTAGAGACGACCCACGCTCACATCTATGAAAGTGGGTCCAGGTTTAATTTCACATCAAAACTGACTGATCATCGCTCCTCAGAGAACTGTCCAAGTGTGCGTCCCAGTAGCGGTAACTCCAAGTGTCCGTGATTACACACAGCCCCACTGTGAGGCCTGCAAGCGTGCCGAATCGGTAGAGTGGGGAACAAACTCCATCTACAAAACCTGAAGATTCAGACTTAGGGAAATCTTCAAGTAATAAAATAGCTCCCCGATTTAGCAATTACAAGGGCTGTGGCCAGGGGCCGTGGCAGTGGGAGGGTCCTGCAAGGAGCAGGGAGTGGGTGAGAGGGAGGAAGGCGCCCTGCGGTGACCATCATCCACTCAAACACTCTGTGAGCACCGGCAGGTGGATGCGCTGGGTCAGGTGCTGATCAATGAGAGGAAGAGGAGCAATGGCGAAGAGCAACTGCTCAGGAAGTGGCCTGAAGGAGACAGCAAGGCGACAGTTACTCTGGCTGAGGCCAGTGTCTCTCTGATACTAAAGGCAGGAGCAGACTTTGAAATGGAGAGTCTAAATCAGTCACTTTCCTTTTTAAAACTGTGTCTGATGCCATTGTTTGAACGAGATTTGCCCCTTTACTTTATACCCTAGCAGAGCCGAGGAAGGCCAGTTAAAAACAAATACTCATGTTGATAAGCTATCAGGCTTGCTAGCTGGGCAGAGGAGAATAAATGACAATTATGAACTTGTTTAGGATAAATCTGCATTTCTCAAATCTCAGTTTAAACATGGTCCACATATGCTGTGTGTCGGTAAAGCAGTCAGAAGTAAGTCTAAGGAAATCTATTTTCTAGCTATCACCTAATGTTCCCATGGTACAATATCTGGCTTTCATAAATTGCCAAATTAATTCCTGTTGCAAAATTTTTAAGCCAAGTTTTTATATATGACACAAAAAAAATGTTTAAACTGGAAACCAGATTTGCTTTTACAAAAACACCAATCTAAGCACCAACAGTTTGGTGATTAACATTTGCTGATCATCTGTTACATGTTACACACGTCAGACACTGTGAATGTGAGTACAAGGAAGGCCAGGTCGCTACCCTCGAGGAGCTGATAGATCAGTAGGGGAATTAAGAAACAGACATAAATCAATGTACTTATGCATAAAATATGTACAAGGACCGGTAGTAGTTTAGACTAGCAAACCGAGTGGTTAACTTTCCTGAGGTGAGAAAGGGGATGGTTTGCAGAAGGTTTCCGCTTACAACGATGAGGTCTGAAAACGGAGCAGGAGGGTGCCAGGCTGACTGAGGGGGGGAGGGAAGGGAAGGCACTGAGGGTAGAACCCCAGGTATGCCTATGTGATTTTAGCATTTTAAATAGAAAGCAGTGGAGAGAAGACTTACACTACACTTTGTCACCATAGATCACTTATCATTAAGCAATCCCATGCCTATAATAGTTACGTGGCAGAATCTCATAAGTACCTAAAATATTACATATTGAAATTAATTTGGTTTCCTGAAAACATTAAATACATTTCACTTCACGGTCAAATATACTAGCCTTCGCTACCGGTACCTCTCACCCAATAACTTTCATGAAGTCGCTCAACAAACCGTGCAAGAGTACAGCGGTGCAATGTCACTAGCAATATCATGGACATCTTTTCTGGGTACCTGTCACTGCTAGACCTGAAGTACTAGCTTCTTTATCTATATAAATCCAGATCTTATCAGAATGACTCGTCTATTTATATTAGATAAAATCATTGAAGATTCTCATTAAACTTTACTTTTTTACTCACTCTTTTAATACTAGATGGAATATATATTTTATACTTTCCTAGGTATTTCAATAAAATACGCAGATGTAGTGTGAACAATGTATGAGGCGACAGCTATCTACAGAGCAGTGAAAAGCTTGTGAAAGTTTTACTATATTAGATGGGTATTTCCTTAATCATCTGTTAAACCAAAAGCAGAGTAACATTAAGAAATGTTTCTGAGGTTATGGGGATAACTATGCTTATTTTTCATTTCACCAGGCCATATATCTATTTTAAGGTAAGCAAGCAAACTACTTGATTACAATGAGTATCACAGATACAATTTTATTATGAAGTATTTCTAATACTAAAAATATTCAAGTAATTAATGACTTAAGTGCCAAATTCTAACTCAAAGAAAACCCAACTGTAACTTTGATGTAAAGGCCTCCGCTGTTTTCACTCACCTCCTCCTCACTGTTGTTATCCTCCTTTTCTTTCTCATCCTCCTCCTCCTCCTCCTCCTCCTCCGCCTCGCTGCTGGAGCTGTCTTCTTTCAACTCCGTCTTCCAGTTGGCAGGGATAGTTCTACTTCTGTGAAACTCCAGCGCCTGGTCAAAGGCTGGAAAGAGACCATAAACTATGTGACTTGTCTCCAGATAGGAAAAAGAAATGAAAACCACTGAGTAAATCCCGCTGACAGCTCTAAGTGCCCGCTGTGTGCCAGGCACTGAGCTAGCGACTTTTCCGTATAGCAGCTCATTTAATCCGCTCAGGCAGCCGTTTTCATAGCATGGCAAAACTGCCACCATTGGAAGGGGACTAGGTTCTAACAAACACAAAAGAGCAGTTTTTCTTCTTTTAAACAAAAATTTACAATACAGGTAAATAAATTCTTGATGATTTTTAACTCTTCTCTACAACATATAATTAGATTTGATGAATATAAGCAAAGAGAAAATAAACAGCTACATACAATGTCAAAAATCTAGTAAGAAATGCAATTACAGCATTCAATATAACCACTGAATAATATAATAAGTATAACTATTGTTATGGCATGAGACATGCCAAATCAAAATTATTTTGATTCCTGTTTCTACCATCCTCGGGAACTAACATTTTATTCAGAGGCGAAAGCCAGACTATAGCAGTAGCTGCTGATATGGTTCTTTCACACTTTAAATAATATTAAGCTGGGGGGGGGAAAAAAAAAAAAAAGGAAACTATGACAACAAAAGACACATGGGCTTACAAAGACAAAGTCACAGAAACCTAAGTACAACTTTAAAGGCAACGTGTTCAAATATCCCTTTTAAAGAAGGTCTCATTGAAAGTATTGCAGAGGTCCCCTTTCTCCTCTTTGACCACCTCCACCCTGCACCCATCCTCCTTCACCACTGTGGTCTGTGCCTGTGGGCTATGCATGTATGCACCCAAATTCTTCGGTTAATCTCTACCCACCCTTCCACCCCCACCCCACCCCACCCTCACCTACGAGAATTTAATCTCCAAAAACACTATCAGTCCAAGATTGCCTCACCTTGTTTTAATGCAGCATCAGGCTTTGGTGCAGAGTCACTTGTAATTTCATGGACATCCTTTCTGGGTACTGAAGTACTGTATTATTTTTTCAATTTTAAAAGAAAAAACACAAAAATACAACAGAAATTAATGAAGAGCCTAATTACACATCACAGAAAGCTACTTACAATATGGGGATACTGACATTTACACAAGGTCGAAAGTTACAGATAAGATGTTAATAAGATGTTGATTCAAGATGGGGTATCTACAAAAGGACCCCACCTCGAATAGAGATAAACAAGGTATCTCAAATTATCAGATTATCCCTGGCTAAAAGCAATGAAGTTCTAAATGAAAAGTACTGAAATACTAAAAATAACAACAGATAAAAATGTCTGGGTAGCAGAATGCATCAATCCAATAAATAAGAAGTCAAACAATAAGAATGTGCCATTATCTTGCAATAATCATAGGAAATCACTAAATTTAATATTGGAAGAAAATGTACTACTTTATAATGTAAATGCTCTCTTAACAAAATTTTAACTAGGTTTTAGACTAAAGTCCTCAAGTATAAAGAGGAATCAGATGTAAGCATCTCTAAGAGGTTCTATCATATATGTCATGTATATTTCCTGTCTGACACTGATAAATCATTCTTCAGCTTTCCCGCATTTGGTTTGTGTCAGTCAATCCACAAAAGCCTAAAAATGATTCCAGATACAATTTTCAGCTTGCCTATTCCTTTTAACTTTTCATTTTTAAAATCTCATACACAAAAGTAGGCCAAATAGTGCAATGACCTCCCACATATCCATTACCCAACTACGATAATCATTAAATAACTCATCTTCACGCTCATACCCCTACCTACTCCCTCCTTCCTGAATTCGATTATTTTGAAGCAAATCCCAGACATGTAATTTCATTATGGAGCTTCAAAATTCTTTTTTAAAAATATCATACCATTATCAAACATTTAAAAAGTAGTAATTTCTTAATATCATCAAACCAGTATTCAATTTCTCTTATTGTCTTCATTTCATTTACATAGGTTTTCATAAATCACTTTTAAGAACCTGAAAACCCAAACCCCAATCTTAAAATATGATCATCCTTTAAAGATATAGTCATCCTATAAGGCAGAGTATAAAAGGTATGGCTTTTCTGGACACACAATTCTTAAAGGGAAAAAAATAGAAATTTGTAACTCAGTTCTAAGAAAGTTCTATATGAAAAACATCTTTAACACTTAAGATACAATTAACGAGCCCTAATTAAATATTCAAGAACAATAAATGTATCCACTAATATATCAGCTTAACAATAACCCACAACCTTCGGACCAACTTCCACTAATATATCAATCAAGGGTTAGATATGGTAGATATATCAAATTCACCAGCTATTACACAAGCAAAACTGACAAATTCGACAATATTGAGAGTGTAGGTTAGCAAAGATCATCATGAACAAGGAAAGACATACTACATTTACTAATAATATGAAAAATGATCTTACTTTGAAACTTTCTGAATGACAAAAAGCAAAGGGTAATGTCACTGGAAATAAATTTATAATTTACCATCCTAATGTGGAAAAATAGCATCTTTTTCACAACAAGTGAATTATACTTACAATTTACCATCCTTGAAAGATCGAACAAGAATATTATCTTTCTTCACAGCGATTTCATCACTACAATCAGGACAAACCACCTTTTTAAAAAAAGGGTGAAATTATGATAAGTAAATGCACGCTTATGGATAGTTACAATAGAACCAATTATTTAAATCCTTTCAGAAAGTAGTTTCAGCTTAAAAACTAAATTTAGTTTTAGGGCAAACAGGTACACACACGTGGACACAGTCACCAGTAATCTGAAATGTATGTCCTAAGGCCTATGAATCACCTGCAAGGCAGGACCCAAAATGGGATCAGGTATTAAAACCTTAATCAGCCGAAACCGGTTTGGCTCAGTGGTAGAGCGTCGGTCTATGGACTGAAAGGTCCCAGGTTCGATTCCTATCAGGGTCATGTATGTTGGTTGCGGGCACATCCCCGGTAGGGGGTGTGCAAGAGGCAGCTGGTCGATGTTTCTCTCTCATTGACGTTTCTAGCTCTCTATCTCTCTCCCTTCCTCTCTGTAAAAAATCAATAAAATATAGTAAAATAAATAAATAAATAATAAAACCTTAATCAGTACGGTTCCCATCCGTAAAAAAAGCTAGAGATGAGGCTCTATATTATTTACAGCTAAATAAGTATTTTAAAACACATTACGTTTCTTTGTAATACTACCCACTCTAAAAAGTAAACACTTCCAAGTGGGTACCTTTCTGGAGTCCGTATAAGATTTCCTACTAACGTTAAAAGATCTATTTTATTGGAAATAGCCTCAGCTGGTATTTACAGTGAGGATAAAGCACGTTTTCCTAAAGGCGGCGCCAATGCAAGAGGCCTATGAATTTTGTCTTTCTTAAATGACTCTGAGTTCCTTGTACCCAGAGGCCATTCTGAGAGCTAATCTTTCTCTGGACTGAACGGTGCTAAAACCAGTTCCCCATTTTGCTCCTATGAAAAACACTGAGACAAACAGTTGCGGTTTTTTTCGTGAACTTATGTAGTTGAAAATGAAACTCTTGTATGTTGAAGTTACTCACCAAAGCAGGAAAACAGAGGGCTTTCTTTTTGTCCAAACTAACGTAATCGACACAGACAACTTTTCCTAGGAGCTCATCGATCTGCTTCCTGTCATCCTCATCTTCATCACTGGAGGATGAAGAGGACTCTTCCTCTGGGCTAGGGAAAGGAAACATAAGATATTTCCACTTATCTTACAAAGAATAAGCACACCAAGTTGCTAAGATATTCTAGAAATTTTTTTCCATTTCCTAATACCTACAAAACACTAAATTAAGTTCCTAAATTTCTAAAGAATACCAACATAAAAGTATTATTAAAGAAAAACACATCATTTTCCTGAAAATATTTCCCATTTATGTAGTGCTATTTTAAACAATTAAGGGAAAGATCAGAACAGACTAACATTGGTTCCCAAATTCTCAAAAAGCTGAAGGCCCCATATAAAACATCCCTATGCTATCCATAATAAAATATATTAGATCCTACATTAAGATTAAAGGAGTTATAGACATAGTAATTTTACACTCTCAGTACAAAGCTAATTTTAAAAGAAGGCAGGCAGATCTTTGTTATGGGAAGTCAGGGGAGAGAGAAGAGACAATCTGATAAAAGATCATCACTGTTATTCTCAACATCAAATTTGCACAAATATTCATAAAATGCACAATATGATTCTTTTGTATTGTTAAAAATCCCTTCCAGTTACATTGTATATTGAACTAGTAAATTAGAAAGATGTTAGAAAAAGGATCTAAAACTGTCTATTTGATATTAAACAAAAGCAAAGTAAAAAGTACTATAGTAAGGAGGACAAAAGAAACACAAAACAAAAAAAGTTCTACTGAATCTGCTTCAGAGAAAGCCCACAATCAGGTTGTGGGTTCGATCCCCAGTAAGGGATGTGCAGGAGACAGCTGATTGATGTTTCACTTTCATCAATGTTTCTCTCTCTCTATCCCTCTCTTTTCCTCTCTAAAAAATGAAATTTAAAAAAAAAAAAAAAAAAGCTCATTCAGCTAGAGTTTTATGGATGCCCTTTATATCATCATCATTAGCAAGAAAGTCACAATGTCACAGATAACATACATCAAATCTATAAAACATAGAAAGAGAGAAACTGGGCTTTATTTGGCCAAGAAAGTCCTCTGTATCTTATAAAAGTCCTCATTGCTTTCTTAAGACTTAACAAGTGTGAAGGCTTCATACACCAGGAAGATACATATAAACTGATTGGCAACATAAAACGGAGTAAATGTCCATATTCCACTCAAAACTCATTCTCTGTTTATGGACTAGATCCCCTTCCCTCCATCATCTCCTCAAGACTTTCTTCCAGCAAGGCTTGTCTCTCTCCTGCCTATCTGCTGCCTCTGCCAGAGTGAGTCCGGCCAGCACGCTGTTATTTGCATAGAATGTTGTTATTTATCCTCAAATAAAAACCCCCTGACCGCCCTGCAGCTACTGCTACGCCTCAGCTCTCCACGCCCTCTGGCACCAGAACAGCCCCGGGCCCTCTGCTTTCACTTCCTCTAAAGTTCTGCTCCTATGTCATCTCAGTTAGGCTACCCTGACCCCTCATTCAAATGTACAACCCGCAGCTGACATTAGATAAATCCAAAGAATTTAAAGAATTCAGAGGAGCTGAAACCGGTTTGGCTGGTTTGGCTCAGTGGATAGAGCGTCGGCCTGCAGACTGAAAGGTCCCAGGTTCGATTTCGGTCAGGGGCATGGACCTTGGTTGCGGGCACATCCCCGGTGGGGGGTGTGCAAGAGGCAGCTGATCGATGATTCTCTCTCATCGATGTTTCTCTCTCTCTATCCTTCTCTCTTCCTCTCTGTGAAAAATCAATAAAATATATTTAAAAAGAAAAAAAAGAAAGAAAGAAAGAAAGAATTCGGAGGATAAAAATTGTATCTGTTTTCAAAGAAAGAGTGGAGAGAGAAGCAGTTCACATAAAAATGGGAGCATTTTCATTGAGAACTGAAGAATGAGTGAGGCAGCGTCATGGAAGGTGGCATTGGAGATAAAGAAGCATGGTATCAGGAAAGCAAAGGATGTATTCAAGGAATGTTGGGCCGTTCCATTTTGACTACAGTATCACCATCCATGCAGGGAGAAATAAGAGGTAGATACCCAGCTGCTAAGGTTGGCTTAACATGGATAACCTCAAGGACCCACGCTAAGGAATCTAAAATTACTGTTAGATTCAGTTAGCATTTTTGAAATTAATTTAAAATTAGTAACTATCACAACAGCACTAGGAGAAATGAATTCAGGTTTAAGTAACAGGCATAAAAACGGACTTACATATGATTAGATCTTCTTCCTCTGTTTGTTTTCTTTCCTATGACTGGAGTGCCAAAATGTTCAGGGTTTGTGAGCGGGAGCTGGTCCAGAGTCTGTGGGTAAGAACATAAACCCCGAGAAAGTTACTACACTGCAAGTTCTTTCTTCTTTTCAAACCAGTTAAAGAATATACTTAGAGAAAAAAAAAGAAAAAAGAATATACTTAAATTCTGACATTAAAAGCATCCAAGAAGACTAACTAAATATTACCTTCCTAAAGATAGAAAACTCATTTTAGAGATATTAGAATAAAGATGATTGGTCCCATTACTGAAAAAAGGTAAAAAGAAAATCAGCTACAGTATTCTCTTCAGATGATTTCACTATCTATTTGAAGGCTGACAGACTTCTAACAGTGATTAAAATACAGAACAAAACAAACACAGCTCAGTGGAAACACAGTTTTGAGAGATCAGACACCTATATGTAAGGACCTAACTAACTCCTAAGTTAAGGCCAACTGCAGCTCAAAATTTTCTTTGCACATAGGGATTCATAATATATTAAATAAAATAATAGATGTTCACCTGTTACATGGTTACTTACTTCACTTTCAGCAAAATGCCTCTCTCCTTTCAGGCACAGTGAGGACCGTCTCAGCGTCTTCTCATCTCCATCATCAAACACTAGGAGAAGAGGGAAAAATGGAAACTGCTGAAGAGTTTTTCAAAGATTAACAAGATGAAAGAAATCATTTAATTTTCCAGGCAGAAATAGAGCTATTTATTGTTTTAGACGATTACATTAGAAATTCAGGGCACATTTTATGTTTTCTAAGAAACAGCTTCAAACATTGAGTATCTTTTCTGATCTCTAGCAAAAAAGAAACCATATACCTTAAATAAAAAGCCTTCTTCCCTCAAACAGAAAAAAACAAATAAAAATGTTAGCTTTTCAGTATGAAACCATTTAAGTGATAATTAACCCTTCTCAATGTGGTAAAGGAAAAGCAAGTTTTTCTGCTGGTAAGAAGCTACAGATTTAGCTAAGAAACAGAAAAAACACACACTGATATAGTCAGTCTGCCATTAAATAATTACTCTATTTTTATTGAAAGCAGGGCTTCTCAACCACAGCTCTACTAACATTTTGGACCAGATAATTCTCTTGGTAGGGGTGGGGGGGTGGGGGGGACTGTGCAGTGCACTGTAGAATACTGAACAGCAACCTCGGCCCATAGATGCCATTAGCACCCCCTTCCCAGCTGTGATCATCAGAATATCTCCAGACATCGCCAAATGTTCCGAGTGGTGAACTTGCTCCCGGTTGAAAACTTACTTATTTAAAGTACTAAAATGTCCCACCAAATTTACTGTAAGTTTATATATACACCGAATATACGTATATTTTGTGACATAGTAAAGATATGAGTAAAACTGTATGAGGAAAGTACTTGCAACGAAAGCAGCAAAGGGTTAATATTCAGAATATAAAAAGAACTCACAAACTAAAAATAATAAGAAAGTGTGACTCAACAAGATAAATATACTTGAATGTACACTTAGAAATGGTTAGGGGGCCCTGGCTGGGTGGCTCAGTAGCTTGGAGAATCGTCCCTTACACCAAAAGGCTGCAGGTTCAATACTCTGGTGAGGGCTAATATGGGAGGCAACCACTCGATGTTTCTCTCTCTCTCCTTCCTCTCTCTAAAATCAATAAACATATCCTATGGTGGCGATTAAAAAAATGGTGAAGATGGAAAAATAAATTTCTCTAAGTTACATTTTGAAATGAAAAAAGCTAGAAATCTAATTCTATAATACACTGAGTGGCCACATTGTTATGCATTCAGAGATCATAATAATCTGGCCACTCAGTGTATGTATAACTAAATAATTTCAAGTAATACGTTATGCACATATTAATAAAATAAAAATTTTAATCAGGAAAGATAACCATTAACAGTGATATCATTTATGGTACTGGGGAGGAAGTAAATCAAGGAAACTTTGCTTTGGTTGTATTATTTTTGAAAATACATCTTTAAAAGCTGGATCCCCTTACCTACAGTATACCAACTCGCGTCTGTTAATTTATTGATGACAGCTTCCTGATATGTCCCATCAAGATTCTTCACTTCCACTAGAGCTCCAACCTAAAGTATTTTTTAAAAGTTAGAAAAACTTTTAGAAGGTAAGTGAACAAACCAAAAACTGGCTTTATTTTTTTAATTGAGTGCACGGTAGTAAAGAATAAAATTACTGATTTGTGTTGCAGTACCAGCAGTTTTACCACCACTGCTTCTGTGGCATCAGTGACAATGTCAACATAGTAAAAAGGCAAATACTATGTAGGAATTATTATGAAAACAGTTGTGCCCGTTTTTCCCTAAAAGGGTCTTGGGAACCCCCCGAGTCCTCAGACCTCACTTTGAGAACTGGAATCACCACACGTGAAACCGACTGTCCTGCCCCTATGACCACTCCCCTTTGGAGGAGGAAGGCGAGGAAAATGAAGGAATAGCTCCGAAGTCTCCTTAAGAGTTAAAATGTAAAACTAATGACAATCATTTAAAAGTTTCCATTTGATCAAGAAAATACTGGGTTATATTTACATGGTCTTTAAAACTGCATCAAACTAAAAAACTTCCACACAGGAGAGAAAACTATCAAGAAAATGAAAACACAACCTACTGAATGGGAAAAGTATTTGAAAATCATTAACCTAATAAAGGGTTTAATATCTAAAATATTATGAAGCACTCATACAATTCAATAGCAAAATGAGCTATCGATTAAAAATATGAGCAGAGTGTCGGGCTGGTGTTGCTCAGTGGGTGAGCGTCCATTTATGAACCAGGAGGTCACAGTTCAATTCCCGGACAGGGCGCATGCCCAGGTGGCGGGCTCAAACCCCAGGAAGGGGTGGGCAGGAGGCAGCTGGTCCATGCTTCTCTCTCGGCATTTTATCTATTAATGTATTTAGAGAGCAATACGTACTTATCAATTCAACAAAATAGTCAATGAATTAAAAAGAAATGACCGGGTATAATTTTAATGTTTACCATTAAAGCACTGGAATTACAAATGAATAAATAAATGAATTACCTTCAGCGGGCCCTTTATGTGGTCATCCTGAACTTCCACTGTCGACGAATCATGCCGAAATGTCACCTGGAGGTGATGAATTTAATTAGACACATGCACACACACGCAATACCAAGTCTGAAAAGTAGTGTCCTTCTGTATACTGCCCGGACCGAATGCTCAGTGGGCTCAAGTGGCATTCTATCACCAAAAGGTGGTGGGTCTGATTCCTTGACAGGGCACATAACCAGGTTATGGGTTCAATCCCCAGTAAGGGTTTCTGTGGGAGGCAGCCAACTCATGTTCCTCTCTCACATCAGTGTTTTTCTCTCTCTCTCTTCTTCCTCTTTAAAACCAATAAAGACCATATCCTGCCCTGGTTGGTGTGGCTCAGCTGGTTGGACCATGCTCCCATGCACCAAAGGTGGCAGGTTCCATGCCCGGCTGGGGTGCATGCAAAGGCAGCCAATCAATGGGGGGGGGGGGGGGGGGCAGCAGCAGTTGGGGGCAATCAGGCAGGCAGGCAGGTGACCAGTTAGGAGCCAGTGGTCCCAGATTGTGAGAGGCAGTATGACATCCCCAGAGGGTCCCGGTTTGAAGAGGGTGCAGGTGGGCTGAGGAGAACCCCCCTCCCCTGTGCACAAATTTCATGCACTGGGCCTCTAGAATATATATAATATTAATCTAACTTCATTCCAGTAAAATACTTCCAATCACAAACAGTAACTTTTTTTCCAGGTATTTTCATAGCCATTACTCCTACAAACTAAGCTAATCTTGCAGGGGAAAAAAAAAAAATTGTTAAATATACTCATCGAAGTTTACATAGTAAATACTGGACATGTAATTTATAAAATCTACGCAGACTGTACCTTGACTTTAACAAGTCTCTTTGCTGTCTTGATCTTGGCTTCACAGAAGGCTCCTCTGTACTTGGCACTCACATCAGTGCCCACTGTCAAATAGGGAGGCTCGTCCAGGGCCTAACAATGCAAACAAATCAGATTTAAACTCTGGTTCTTTCCCACGGTCAGACCTCAAAATGGCAGATCAAATCTCATTATAGCTATAAAGGCTGTGATAACTATGCATGTTAACAATCTACAAAATACACTAACTTAAAAATAACTAAATATATATATCAAAGTCTACTTACATGTACATGATATAAAATATAAAGGCATCTTTTCCTATTAAAATACACATGGTTCGTAATATGAATTTGCTCAATCACAAATATATGCCCATTCCTTCATGCCCCCTCTGTCCACCATCCATTCAAATATATATTCATTACATGACCACGAAAAAGCAGGTTCTTAAAGCGAAAAGTCGGAGAAATTTTCTTCTCACAGGCTATATCTTTTTAGGTACCAAATTCAGAATCTATCACTACCTCCACAACTTTTAGACAGAATGGCATCAAAGGGGCAAGCGGAATCACATGTATTCAAACTACAAAATCCAATCTAGAAAGTCTCCAATAAAACTTAGCCCAGAGGTCTAATGCTTTAATGCATGGGTTCACTGGTTTTTAATAATCCTAATGTAGCTGCTCTGACTTTTTACAATCAGGTAAATAGTACTTTTATATAGGATCTGTATTTCTAAGGAGTTCTGCTTATATCAATTCCATAGCCAAAGAAAGATTAAGTAACTAACTTTTCCCAAAGCGTTTTTACGAGAAATACTAATATCCCAAGAAGCTCCCCTTACTCCCCCTTCAAAAAAAAGAGGGAGAATTTGGGGAAACTGGTTTATTGAATGAATTCCCACTCTGCCTCATCATTGCCCAATCTGGTTTGTCCAAAGGACCTCTTTCTTGTTTCTTCCTATTAATATCTATTACCATCCCATTACCATCTATTACCATTACATTCCATAACACGTAAGGGGGAAAATACTGTTATACAGCAACAAATAATGAAAATATCAATTTTACTTGGATCTTAAAGTAAATCCACTCCTAATAGTTGTGGCTAGCATCTCCAAAAATAATTCTTTTTTCTTTCAAAATTCTAATGCTATGTGCCTGGTTGGTGTGGCTCAGTGGATTAAGAGGTTCGGGGTTTAATTCCCAATCAGGGCACATACCTGGGTTTTGATCTCATGCAGGAGACAGAAGATCAGTGTCTTTCCCATCAATGTTTCTATCTCTCTATCTCCCTTCCTCTCTATCTAAAAGTCAATAAAATATATTTTTAAAAACTCTAATGCTATGTAACAAAAGTGCCCATATTTATATCAAATAATTTTAATAACTTTTTTAAAGATGGAAAGGTATTACTTAAACTAAGACAAGGTGGTTGTCCCTCTCTCTAAAATCAATAAAAACATAAAATAAAATAAAAAAAGATCCTACATAAACAGCAGATGCCAGTATAATTGTGTATACTATGAGGGGGTGTATAAACTCATTCAGACATAATCATGTTGCATGCTATAGCAAGAGAGGTTAAGAGTTGGTGGGATGGCCGAAACTGGTTTGGCTCAGTGGATAGAGCATCGGCCTGCAGACTGGAAGTTCCCAGGTTCGATTCCAGTCAAGGACATGTACCTTGGTTGCGGGCACATCCCCAGTGGGGGGTGTGCAAGAGGCAGCTGATCGATGATTCTCTCTCATCGATGTTTCTAACTCTCTATCCCTCTCCCTTCCTCTCTGTAAAAAATCAATAAGATATATATATTTAAAAAAAAGTTGATGGGATGCTCCATAAGGAAGTGTATACCACACCCTTTAGAGTGACAGAAAGACAACCAAGGCTGCACACCTCTTCCAGGCTACAGTACTTCGGTCCAACACAGAGAGGCACGAAGAACTGTGAGCCGATAATTAAGAGTCTTCTGCCCAACACCCACCCTGATAGGTAGAACACTTACACAACCAAAAACAAAACAAAAAAACCTCTTACCTTCTCTTTCTGCTCTGCTTCTGATTTTGGTCAATAATACAGACCATCTCAGAGGCTAAAATAGAATGTTTTATGTAACACCTCTATGCCAGGGGGAAATTAAACTACTAAATCGCCACCCCTTTGTTTAGCAAATAGAACAGTTTTCTAGTTGCCAAGGCAACAGCTACCTCACAGTTATCAGCACCGCTTATACAGTTTTCTAGTCACTCTGACCAAATGCCCTCACTGGCACCCAAAAACATTGCATTCCCTGAGGACACTGAAAAGGAGAAGCGATTCTGAAATCCGCTGTGGGTGAATACTAATCCTTCAAGAAGCCAAAATGCCAAGGAAACATGTTAAGTGCCCAAATGAATCAACAGTCATCTCCATTGCGCCCTGGGCTTTCGCACACCGATACATTAAAGCCTTTAAAAAAGAGAATAGCTGAATCAATTCTCCGAGTTGCTGGCTAATGCTGACATTACCTAGGAAATATTCAGTTATTCAAGATCTGTTTGTTTGTTTTTAAAGTAAAACATACTAGATGACATTTTATTGAGACCGTTTCTTAAAAAGAGTAAGCATTCAAGCCACTTCTAGGTGGTGCCAAAGCAGCCAGAGAATCAGAAAACAAAAGTACTAAATCTGATGCTAAAATCTCCCGGAAGTAAATGTATTTAAACATACAGATAAATCTGCAAAAGCAGCTTTTTGTGCGCGGCAATCTCAAAGAGGCATTAAAAACCATAATGAGATAATCCCACCAGATGAATGAATGGAAAGTACTCAGGTTGGCAGGGCCCCAGCATCATTCACACACACACACACACACCCCAGGCTCACGGTCTGTACCAGCTTCAGGGACTAAATGCCATATCAGGACAGTGATCTGATCTGGAGAAGAAGAGTTTGGTTTTCTGTACATAAATAAACAGGCTCGAGGTGGGTGCTCACCCAGAAAATCACTACCTATAATGGTTCGCCTAATCCAATGACAACCCTCTAGGCTTGGGAGCAAAATGTACTTTTCCCGTGAAAGAACCCCACCGGGCCAGCCAGCAGCAAATGAGAAGCGAGGACAAGCATTTCCTAGAACCCTCAGCAACAGGAAGGGCTGCGAAAGGCTTGAAGATGAGAGTTCCTGGAATAAAGAAATCTGGTTTTCACCTTCTATTAAACATTTCGTTTTAAAGGATTCCATTAAGACAAAAATGACAGGTTTTACTCTTAATCTGGAAATTACAACTTTCCCCCCAAACTTCCAAATCTACTTTTAAGTTGAAAGAAACAAACAACCCTGGCCGGTTCTGCTCAGTGGGTAGAGCAGCGGTTCTGAACCTGTGGGTCTCTAAGGACCCTTTCACAGGGTCGCCTCAGACATCCTGCATATCAGATGTTTACATTGCAATTCATAACAGCAGCAAAATGATAGTTATGAGGTAGCAACAAAAATAATGTTATCGTTGGGGGTCACCACCACATGAGGAACTGTATTAAAGGGTCGAGGCATTAGGAAGGTTGAGAACCACTGGGATAGAGCATCCATCAGCCTTCCAGCTGAAGGGTCCCGGGTTCGATTCCAGCCAAGGGCACATGCCTGGGTTGGGGGCTCCATCCCCAGTGGGGGGCGTGCAGGAGGCAGCCGGTCAATGATTCTCATCATTGACGTTTCTCTCTCTCTCTCTCCCTCCCCCTTCCTCTCTGAAATCAATAAAGATATATTTTTAAAAGAAACAAAGAATTAGAAATAAACACAAAACTAGTCACTATATATCACCTTGAAAACCTAAATTTATAAGAGTTTGCACATTCTTTCCACAGAACAAATGACAATAACTCCAATGTACTAAGAACTTATTAGGTATTAGATCCTGTTATTACATTTAGTCACTCCCAACAGCCCCATGAGGTAAGTCCTCAAGCCATTCCCCATTTTACACAAGAACACCAGCTTCTTAGGACGTTTGAGAAAACTACCCAACAGTCTTAAAGAATCCTCATCCTACGGGTTTATAGCAGGAGTGACAGGCTTTTACCAGCACAGTACAGCGAGCGTGGACTGACTGCTCAGAACCGAACACCACATAAAACATCTTAAATGTTATTTCATTTGGCAACTACACAATCGTAAGGTAACTGTTATCCCCATTCTACAAAAAAAAAGAAACTGATGTCTGCTTTCATAAATGACCTTCTCCAAACTTTAACAGTAAGGAACAGAGAGAGTACCAGAAACAAGATCTCGCTTAAAAAAAAAAAAATGGTTTTTATCCATTCAAGGATAACTTTTACTCTCAGTATATGAAGTGAATCTTTCCTTGACAGTTTATAATCTTCATTTTGGCTATAAATGACAAAACGTAAGTATGATTGTCAATTAAAGTTATTAATGACTACGCTTTCATAAGCAATTATACTGCAAGTTTATCAAATGAGGAGAAAGCAGGCGGGTACTTGTAAAACCTTGACACACAGGACTTCTACCAACCTAGCTAAGTCACTCTGCCAAAAATTTACACGGAAATTAGAAGATGGATTAAATAAGAGAACTCTGCATAAAGCATACATTCCATGGTGCAAGATACACTGTAAAAGTGACACATTTTAATAATATAAAACTATATACCGAATAAGTATCCTTTTAATTGATGGCTAAGTTTATACTTTAACAATGATAGATACACTATTTTCTGTGAGATCTTACTAACAAATCATAATTCTGGCCCAGGGGGTCAACACCGTGTTAAGCTGGAGAAACACGCACACCAGCGCAGTGCTGCAGGTTTCCTATGATCCCTAACTGTACCCGAAAGCTACGTACATCCTTGCCACCAATGACCCCATTAGGCACATCACTGACTGTGGAAAAGGTAAGAGCAAGCATACACTAACTTTTATAATAGTTTCATAAATAATACCTAGTGTGATAAAAACTATACTTCCAGATTTTCAGAGCAACCTTTTAAAATTATTTTATAAAATTTGTCCATCCAAGGATCTTCATTTATAATTATAACTGAAAACATTCTCTTTGGAAATTTAAAAAGGCAAACATTTTAAGCTATTCGTGAAAACGCTAACATTTC